ACTCATTCAGCCAGCAATTCTACTCATAGAGTACGGCCTAGTCTACAGTACAGGATAGCCTGGAAGTGATGGTCAAAACGAAATCAATTGATTGGACTACTAGACTGGGGTATCGAACTTGATGGTTCATAAGTTATTAAATTTTTTGCGTTCTTTGGAAAATCATTAAGTGCACCCATAAAAATTTTAAAAAATATCCACAACGTGACTTTGAAAGTGGATTTTTTTGCCTTATGTTTCTGAGATATGTATCTTTTCGACAGAACTCTTTCCACAAAATGAGCTAGCATATAAGTCAATTGCAAATAGCTCTTTGGCTCAATTTATATTGCGGCAGAACAGAATGGAAGCGAATTTTTGTAACGGTATTGTACATAGCATAATGAACTTTATGGTCAATAGTGTAACATACAAACTATATACGAGCCAAAATTTTCCACGGAATGCGCGAGCAATCTCGAGCATGAAATGCACTACTTTTTCTGCCATAGCCTTTCCGTAGTACGGTTTATTTTAGTAAGATTCTCTTGAAAACAAAGTTTTGTGTTTTGTGAACAGAAAGGGCTATTGGCAAATGATATACACTGGCTCATTTTATTAAAAGAGTTCTGTCGAAAAGATACGTATCTCAAAATAATAAGGAAAAAAAATCACTTCAAAAGTCCTTGGGATGGTTGTTTGTAATTTTTTTTGGGGTGCACTTAGTGATTTTTCCACAAAAACACAAAAAGTTGATTAACTTTTGAACCATCAAATTTGAAATACTCAATTCAATTTTGAAATACTCAACCTACCTCCTCATTTCGTTTTGACCATCACTTCCAGGCCACCCAGTACTCATATATAAAATGAAATATAATTTATAATTTGAATTAAATTCCATAGCTCCTTTTCTCCCGCGGTCCTTTGGTGGAACTCTTGATATCATCAAACATCGCTCGTTACGCGGAGTTCCGCTGCGTGACTCGGGTCCTTACATGGTTGGAGGACCGCTTGACGCCCGTACCATGCTCCCGTGCTGACGTGTTCGCGACTGAGGCCGTCAGCATCGTCGAGAAGCGCATGCTCATGAAGATGCTTACTTCCATCGTTGGGTACAATGAGGACGAGATGAATAATGAATTTAAGGGTAAGTTATTCATTAGCACAGTATTGGATGTTTATTATTTTTTTACTTGTATTGCTGCCGTAGCATTATTTAAATTCAGATGCGGAGAGGTCCATTGAATTCTGACCTTAGCTGAAATATAAAATTGGATGGTAATGCAGTGAGATCGAACATATAGAACATTAACTGCCTCTGTGGCCGAACTGTTACCATGCCGGGCTGCCACGCAGAGGTCCTGGGTTCGATTCCCAGGCTGGGAGAAATATGTGTATGGCCTACATTTATTTCTCTCGTGAGTGTGGGTGTAATTTGTGGTTGTCTATGTGTGTGTCCAAGGTACCCGCGACACAGGCAGGGTTTCCCTAGTGTGGGGCTATGTTGAGTGGGTGCCTTATTATTGTTATTATTTTCAGTATAGTAATTTGCCTATTCTATGTATGCCTATAGACTGGAACGACAAAACTTTCAAGGAGTACTTAACGCACAAGGGGCTAACACCCAATCTGATCCACTACGTGTTATACGCGATCGCGGGTGGCAACAACCGTATGGGATGCTTGGACGGCGTACGCGAGTGCAAGAAATTCCTTATGAGTCTCGGCCGCTACGGTAACACTCCGTTCCTCTGGCCGATGTACGGAAGTGGAGAATTGCCACAGTGTTTTTGCAGGTTAATATGATTTCTTAGTATAACATGGGTCAAATAATATCTATTTGGACTTCGAAGCATGCCGGAAGTGGATAAAACTTCTAATTATTAGACTACATAATATACAATAGGGCTTGCACGACAGCGCGCAACAGAAAGCGCAGGATTTCTATGCGAGAATAGCGGTATTTCGCGCAAGTCGCCTTGTCGTGCTAGCCCTACAGATAAATATTGCACACCGGTTTTCATGCTGTCGCCATCTCTGAGGTCCCGGGTACGATCCATGATAGGGCCAGTGTTGAGAAACTAACTTCTCTATTGTTTCGGGTCTGGGTGATTATGGTGCAGGCGTTGTTTCGGATTTCTATAACACGGGTGCTTTAGCTTACTTCGGGATCAGAGCACAACGCATATGATATTGTCTAATATTTATTTATTATGTTGTAGTAATTAAAAACTATAGCAAAAAACTGAAATTCAAATAACTAAGGCGTTGTAAAATGACCCAAATGTGCAACAAAGTAGGTAACGAAACGAAAACTTCACTTTCTCCTACCGCATGCCACTGTACCAATCTGATTTTGTAATCGAAATATTATGTTTATGACTCATCCTGCTTATGAAACGAGACTGAAGTGAATTATTAATATTATTATTCTCAAATATTTATATATTATTAGGTTTGTGGAAGCTTATTTTATCGTTCAAATAATTAGTTTTATTTTAGGTTATCAATTTATATAGTGAATATAAAGAAAATAAAAAATATTTGACAGAAAATAATTAATTAAATAAAATCAAATGTATTTAGGACACACAATTAATTAAGTTTTCAACAATAACAACAACAATAAAGTTTTAAAATGTACAAAATTGTTTAAAAACGAAAAATAAACTACTCCTACGTCTTTTGTTAGCCTATGTAATAACATAATTACCAAATGAATATTACTCGATACACCGCTAAGGCTTGGTGAAGAGTTTTTATTACAAAATCCATTATACGAGTTTTCGTGAGCCGTAGTAAACTAAAGACGAAAACGAAACAATGAAACTATACTCATGATTATTTTTCAGACTTTGCGCCGTTTTCGGCGGTGTGTACTGTCTAAATCGACCGATAGATAAGGTGGAGACGAAAACGGTAGATGAAGGCAAAACTGTGGTCACCATTGCCAGTAAATCGAAGACATTAAACTGCGATCATCTCGTCATCGGCATTAACGAATGTCCCAAAGAACTGATCTCTCCAGTACCGACGGAAAGTTGCGACATATCTAAGGCTGTCTTTATAACTAACGGATCGATTATGAAGAGCGAGAAAGAGCCGCTTACATTGCTTCGCTTCCCGCCTCTAACTGAAGATGGTAATGCTGTAACTGTTCTGGAAGTCGGTCCTGCTACTGGGTCTTGTCCCAAAGGACTTTGTGAGTATTTTTGCCGATGATATTGTAATTAATTAGTAATTGATACTTATTTAGTCATCGAGTATAAAACCAAAAATAGAGACGAAATAAGGGCCATCCATCCCTGGCAACTCATCAGGCAAATGGGCCTCATATCACTTTTAAATATCAACTCTCGTTTGCACTGAAACCACAAATTAGAAAACTGAAATAGTACAGCGCCAACAACTGGCCTGTGTGTACATCTCCGTATATTCCAAAAATATACTGTATTTATTGTAATAAAGATAATATCTCTAACTATGGGGGCTGTTCCATTCGGTGGTGTGGCAAAAACAGCAAAACATCTATTTACAAAACAAACGGAATTACATGTCATCGTTTAACTAATTAAATATGTAATTTTTCAATTTTCGTCCATTATAGCAAAGCTCAAGTTAAACTGGTCGATTTGAAGGAAACAATTGACGACACCCGTCAATTGTTTCGAATCGAGGTGGCCAATCGGAGCGCAGTTCTTACCGTAATAATTTGGCAGAATAGTTTTCATACAAATTAAATTACATTTCCGTCTCTATTTCTGGTTATATAGTCGACGTCTTTAGTCTGACCTGTCTACACGTTCGAGCAACCACGAGCAATCTTGCGCAAGTTATCGTCGCTACATGTATACGTGTGTAAGAGTTCGACCATGTAACCGCCCATTAGACATGTGCTTCGATCTACGCTTTCTAAATTTCATTATATTTACAATGTCAGAGTTTTAACTATAGAAATATTTTTAAAGAAACCTTCATGACATCATTATTAGTTTACTAAAGTTCGAATACGTTCTGACCTTGCTTCTAAGTTACGATAGAAGTACAATTCAGTCTCACTAAAACCGAATCATAAATGTCTTCAATAGGTATTAAAAGGGGACTAGTTCCTTGATTCGTTACGTAACAATCACCGAGTGATTCATCATGGAAGTTATAAAAAGTGGTTCCACAAAAAATACCAATAACTAGCTGAGAAACCAGGACAAAAAATAAGAGTTAAACGTACCAATGGTTTGCGCACATAATGTTGGGCTTTTTTCTGCTTTATTTGGTAAATGAATTGAAGACTCGAAGGTGAATATTTAAGAATTTTCTTTATTTATAGGCCCTGTTCCTGTGAATGTTTACGTAGATATTCTCGTCGAAAGTGTACTGTATATGTCAAGAGATTTTATTGATAGGGATAAGTGGAAATGAAATTAAACTTATCCTAACTAGTGTCTTTGTGGTAGGGAAGAGTGGAAAAAAAAACCACTTGTCACTAGGGGGGATAGCTGGTAGGGACTAGTGGAATAGGCCCTTCGTTAATCGTAGGTAATAATGAAGGAATACAAGTTCAAGGTCAAAAGCATTTTGAAATAAGTTTCCAAACAGAACATCATATCGTCGTTTTATTGCGAAAACCAATTAACTGGAATTTTTACAGAATATGATTTAACTACAGGAAAACGCAACATAATTAGGTAAAATGTACTTAAATATTTGCAGTTTCGTTAAATATAAAATGTGGAATAATCTGTTACAAATTACCGTGGATGACTACGGCATTTGTAAGACATATCAGTCGTTGAAATTTCAATTGCATTTATATCAAAGTAAATGTTATGTTAAATGTGTTTTTCCCACTAGAACGGCGATTTACGATACGATATACAAGTAAGTTTCTTGGTGGGCAAATTCACTTAATTTTGACATAATCTGTCACTTCCTGATTTATAGTTAGTTCATCTTGTATACGCCTCGTTTGTTATAAGTACAACTTGAAGTATGGTCAGTTTTTGTTATTACACTCTGTATTCCCAACATTTACTCGACATCAGCAATGAACACTACGCTAACTTAAAAATGGCAACTTTTCACAAACTCGCGATAACATTTTCATTTTGAAACATATATTAATGATTTTTTTACTACAAGTTATTTATTCATCATCGATTATAAAACACATGATTATTACTTCTTGTATTATTTTCTTAATTTTTAATTAAATTCAAATTAGCTGAATAATTTGACATTTGAAACCAAAATTGACAGAATTCATGTTAGCGTAGTGTTAATTGGTGATGTCGATTCTATAGTATGAGACCGTCTATACGGATCGAAGACTGCATGTCTTCAACGACCTATTTTTTCTTCATTTTGCCTTAGCTAGGCTAAATAATAACCTAAACATCTGTTGAATAATTATGTTGCTTTTATTTCAGTCGTGGTGTACTTCATAACGAATAAAGTTAAGGATGCGGAGAGCGACCTCAAACCATATGCGGAGAAGATCTTCGACATGTCCGCCGGCGATCAAACAGCAGAGTCTGACAAACCTAAGGTATGCCATTATGTGTCATTCAAAAGTTTAAGTGGTCATAACAAAAAACTTACACGTGTACAAACGTCAAACGACATAACACATAACACTAATCCGAAAGTTTAAATACGCACATACATACCATCACGTGTGTTTCCCACTGGGACAGGGCAACGTTTATCTACGCTCCTGACAAACCTATGGCAGGCGTAATGGCACATATAAAGGAATAAATGCTTGGTTAGGATTATGAGATATTAGAAATATATACTTGAAGACAAAATTCCTTGAGCAGTGCGTGTGCGATGACCTACGGCTCTGAGAAAAAGGTCAAAGTCACTCAACGAGCTATGGAGCGAGCAATGTTCGGCATTTTTCTACGTGATCGAATCAGAAATGAGGCGATCCGTAGAAGAGCGAAAGTCACCGATATAGCTCAAAGGATTAGTAAGTTGAAGTGGCAATGAGCAGGGCACGTAGCTCGTAGAACTGACGGTCATTGGGGCCAGAAAGATTTTAGAAAGGACCGGAAAGTGTTCAGTGGGACGGCCCCCTACTAGATGGACGGATGACCTGGTAAGGGCGGCGGTTAACCGATGAATGCACGTCGCGTCCGATCGGCTAGTCTAGAAATCTTTGGGGGAGGCCTATGTTCAGCAGTGAACGTTTTACGGCTGATATGATAAGAAATAGCATGAGTACTGTTTGCAGACACTTGGAAGACAGGAAGGTTAAAAAAGTGAATAATTATGGTGATAATAGATCCCTATTAGTGTGATGCTGCTGATAGTGCACTGCCACAAATCTATTTAGTTTTCTCAACTAGCATCAGCTTTACACTTACCCGTGTTACTTCTAAACAATATTAGTAATTCGTAATAATTTTATTAAAACAATTACAATTTATGAATCAAGTAAAAGTAAGCAATGTTTTCCCACAAAACCTAAACCCTTTATATGTCTATATGTGCACTCTTACTTACGTTTAGTTCTTTGCATTACAATTTATATTACAATTAATAAATAAAATCAAGGTATATGCAAAGTCTTCATACTTTTTATGTCATTTTCATGCAATAATTTATAAACATTATATATATTTTAAAAATAGAAAAAATTAGAAAACCGGTGTAACTGGTGGTAAAAAATGGTTACCACCATTCCTCATTTACTGAGAGCTACTGAATGGGAGGGAAGTGGTTTTCCAATCCGAGATAGTGCAAATGGAACTCGTATAGTGTACGCGAACTCACTACCCTGAGCTAGTGTTTAAATTATTATCTAAGTCATTATTATTAGTCCTGTAATAGACGCTTTGTAAATTTTCTATTTCATAAAAATTCTTTTCCTACCTAGCTTCTACCAAAGTAAAGAACTACTGACTAAAAAACGCTTTATACACTATAATCATGCAGCTCAACCAAATAACAAAATATAACAGTAATAGATTTAATAAGTTTGTCTTATAAAAAATTAATAGTATGAAAAAAATATAAATAAATTTTATAAGAAATCTTCAATATTGTATATATGTTGATATGTCATATCATTCAGGTGATTAAATAATATTTTTTTAAATTCTGCACAAATATTGCAATTCCTAATTTTACAATTCCAATACAGTTATACTCTTTTGAAGTAGAGCAGTTTTGCGTGGTCTAGTTTTCAGTTGATTAGCGCGGCGATCAACTAGCAGATCAGGCGGCGTGCCCGAGTACGTGTAAACCAATATGATCATAATTATTAATACAAAGATCGAACACTCAGAAAAAATAACGCCTCTTCGAAGGAATTGTTTCTGAGTGTGGAGTAATTTCACAAAAAATGATTGAATATCAATTCAATAAAAATTTAAAATACAGTGAATAGCGACATCTCTCGCCAGGGCCGGTAGCTGTAAAGGTATCTAACTGGGTGATAAAACTTTCAAAGATTTCTCATAGATGGCGCCTCGACTAAAAAGTCGTTGAAAAACCAATACAAAGACACGACAACAAGCACATAGAAAAATTCGGGAGGTCCGCTGGTTCCTTCCGTGGCTAAGTTGGTATAGCGTCTGGCACGGTATGCTAGAAGACGTTGGTTAGAATCCAGCCGGATCGAAGGAATTTTTTCTGAGTATTCGATCTTTGTATTAATAATTATAACAAACTAGTGGACTAATTTCACAAAAAATGATTAAATATCAATTCAATAAAAATTTAATTTACAACATGATCATAGTTTTGCGAAAATGGCACCTAAAGATTTTTTCGTTGTTTTTGACAGTGTGTTCTACTAAACCTTAACAATTTATAATTCCTGAGATGACAATAGCAACTGTATGTGCCGCGCTGGCGTTGCGTCTCGGTCGCGCAGACATCGTGTCTACGCTGTGCTTTTGTTGGCAAGACTCTGACGCTCGAAAGACGCTAGTGTGGGTGTCTCTAATCGTCGACGAACAGTCCTAGCTGAAATGCCATTACCTGTATCTCTCCCAAAGACTTCACCCTTTATCAGGACGGAACCGATGACGTTCCTTCTTGGCTATCACGACTCTCGGCCTTTTTAATCGTAACATACGTTTTGAGGTACTGAACTGCATTGTAAACCATTTTTTAGTTCCGATATCTGCTTTTCGCCTTGTGGCATGGCAGTTCTTGTTTTACCCATTTTCTGTCCAGGGAAGTACTGTCACCTTACCTATTTCTGCCGCCAAGCAGTACGGTCACCATTGCTGAGTTTTGGTTTTGAAGGGTAAGGGTGCTGGGGAAATTGTAGGCACATGGGACTTGGTCAACTTCTGTCACATGGTGACGGGCGCAGTGGCAGTGACTCTCATATCTATAGCTAAAGCTTTGAGTGGCACTGCAACTGCTATGGACAGGCGTGTCGCTTACCATTAGGCGCACGACTGTATTGAGGTTTAATATCATACTACCGAGTACTTTAATAATAATAATGACAGATTTAAGAGTCTATACAACCTCAAATGGCTTTGGTTGATTGATGGGTTGGTTGTCCGCATAACAGTGAAAGAGTTGAATCAATCAGTTTGGAAAAAATACATGTATAATAAAATTGAGGATATACATTGATACGGTGTAAAAACACGATTCCTGAAAAGTTTCACGATAAAAAAAAACACAAACTTACCTCGAAATTTTACAAGAAAACTGCTGTATTCAATAGGTACTTTACATATATCAATTTTTTATATATATATATATATATCAACTGAACTGAATAGAATACATCGCACCCTTAGTAATATAAGGGCACAATCCAAAAAAAGTAGATTTTTGGGAAATCGCGTATTAAGATTCTGGATTCCTACATTACACCTATTTTTTCAAATAATATGCTTATTATTTATTAATATGAATATGTTATAAATATGAAATTTGGCAGATTTGTTCTTTGATAAATGTATTATAAAGAGCAAAAAAAAAAATAATATAAATAAATTCCATAAGTTTCAAGCAAGTTAAAAAAACACTTTCAAGTTAGACCCATATAGTACAAAAAATATAACAGAAATATGGAGCTATATAAGTTTGATCCCATTTATTATTTAAGTCCCTATCAATTCCCAAATTTCCCAAAAATCTACTTTTTTTGGATTGTGCCCTTATATTACTAAGGGTGCGACATATAGTATACATAAACGGCTTTGTAAAAAAAAATAATTTTGATTTAAAGCCTTTACGAATACCCAAGAGTGTCTGAAATGGAGGTTTTGTTGCCAGTGCTTGTGGTCGCTGTTTTACAACGTGAAGGACACGAGTGCTCCGGTGGTGGCAACCGCCGACAACGTACACATCTGCTCAGGGCCCGACGCCGGCCTCGACTTCGATCGCGCTGTCGAACAGGTACGTTTGTTAGTTTGCTTATCCGTTTTTTATTGGAAACACACTTTTTGCCAAGTTTTATGTATATTAACAAATCGATGCCTTTCTTTCTCAAACTCGTATCTTATAAAGAGTGATTATTCAGGAGATGGCAAAGCTTTCAATTTATTTTTCATTTCTTATCGAGGGTATTAATTTAGATGCAGAACAGGTTAAACTAGTGTGTAAATATGAAGGAAATGTGATGTGAGATTGCTTTAAGATACGAGTTTGAGAAAGTAAGGCGACGAAATGTATATTTAGCAACCCCTAAAGTTTCTTGTCCATTTTTCTCAGGAGAATCTGCTTTACGACTGAGCAGTAGAGTTTAATCAGTATGATCTGTATTTAGTTTATTATTTAATTTGCTTACCCATGAAACGAAGTTTATTTGACTTTGAGATATTGAAATCGGTTAACAGAAAGTGGGTCAAATCCAATAAACCGGATTAATTCCCTAATATGCAACCCTTAGGTCGAAAATTTTCTTCAGATTTGATAGGGACCACTATGGAGATGGGTACCTTTCCAAAGCAAATAATTACTATCGAAATCTGTTCACAAATATGGGAGTAATCGCGGAACATACACACAAAAATACAGTCTAATTGAGAACCTCCTCCTTTTTTGAAGTCGGTGAAAATTGGGTTTATTCTATTTTAATAATTATAATAACGCACACACTCATGGCATAGACGTGCAATTTCGTTAAATATAATATTTCGTTACATTAACCTATGTTGTTTTTAATAAAAAAAAACTATTATTATTATTATGGCCTGCTATTATTACTGCCTCCGTGACCGACTGGACTGCCGCGCAGGGATGGATTCCCGGGCCGAGAGAAATATTTGTATGGCCTACATTTATTTTTCTCGTGAGTTTGGGTGTAATTTGTGGTTGTTTATGTGTCCATGGCACTCGCGATACAGGGTTTCCATAGTGCGGGGCTGTGACTGTGTGCGTTATTATTAACTCGGCAACGGAAACACGATTTCTCGTGATGGCTATTATGTACGATATGAGATTTAAAAAAAAGATGGCTTCATCTGATTCTTCCGCTAACATATTTAATAATAATAATAATTTACGGGACATGTTACTTCCGCCGCGTGTTTATCGCAAAAACCGAACTGAACAGCACTGAATTTCCATTATCCACAACACACAGCGCAATCTCGCGATAGCTATTAATATCAATCGCGAACTCGTGATAGCCATTAATGGCAATTTTCGGTGGAAACAGGCTGGTGAGATTTCAATTCTCGTCTCGCCTCGTCGGTGCAATAGCACCATTAGTCACTTGTTTTAACCCTCTAATTAACGTCATACAACAAATTCCGCAATAAGTGCCGTCGGTGCCCCGACATGTACGTTGTTTTTTTATATATACACCAATTCGTAGGAAACATTTTGCTTCTAAGCTACGACTGAGTGGATTTTTTTCCGGTTTCTATATTTCCCGAAGAATTGGCGAACATGTATCGTGTCTATACTTTTTTCTTCAGGAGAGATAGTGAGTCTATTTTTGTTTAAAGATACGAGAAGAATTCAACGTTTGCGTCTCAAGGTTGCGCATTTGGTGTTCCCGAGACGTGATGCTCTATTGTTTATAGGTCAATCCGGAACTGTGATACACAGTTAAGTAAAAAACAAACAAACTGTAATTGTAATAATAATATTTTATTTACTCACTCTTACAAAAATAAGATAGCACATTGTAATTATAATTTTGAACATGCCTTAAGAAGATCTAAAGTTAACATCCTTATGTGAGAAACTGGAGTCATTACAAGCTTACTCCAGGTACAGGTACCCCGTTACAATTTATTTTTATTTTCAAAAAGGTAAGTATATTATCTAAAAGAAACAATTTGAAGTTGAGACGACGCAACTTCAAATTGTTGTCTCTTTGTAGTGCTTGAGTGTGCGGGTGCGCGTATTGTGTGTATGCTTAATTTAATTAATTAATGTAATTATTTTGTAATTTTGAACTTCTAGTGAAGAATCATTTTAGAGGCATCTAAAATGAAAATAACTATTTACTCTGAAGAATAATTTCTTGGGGAAACCTACGAAATGCGAAATATACGTACATGTTACGTTGCATATTAGTGCATTCGAATTATTATTACTCTTCAGAGGAAAGCTGTATAAGGTAATAGGACATGTCCGTCTATGATTTTCGGGCTGTCGCAACAGCGCATGGTAATTATTATCACATTAGGTATAAGTATCGGTAAGTCTCAATGACGGTTCACGACAAGACGTAGTTTTTTAAAAGGGCAATTTTGATAACTCGAATGACAAATAATATTTATTTTTATTAAATTCGCTTTTAATATTTACAAAATATTATTGTAGGTACAATTTGACTTTTATTGAAATCTTCAGAGAGATCATCGTATCTACATACAATATAAATGATAGATTGTTTTTGTTTATAAGGAGTTGTTGAAACAAAGACGTTATATTCACATAGAAATCAGCATCGGAACTATAGTGAATCAATGGCGCGCTTACGGTGTTATGCGGACAAGTAATTGATTTGTAGTGGTTTTGTATTTAAAAATCTCGGTTTACACATAATGTTCTCTTGTTTGCATTTGTAATACGACCCTACGGTCATTTAAATGAATGAATGAAATATTCATTGCACATTTTAAAAACAGTAAAGTAATGTATCAAAAAATATGCGCAGAACAGGCGACCTTATCGCTAAGTAACAATGCCTTCCAGGCAACTTTAATAAATTATAAGAGTTGGAAAGGAACCTTTTCCGTACCTAATCATTGTTTTTTTAATAATATCTAGTGACGGGACGAACAAGTCGTGCGCCTGATGGTAAGCTACACGCCTGTCCATAACAGTTGCAGTGCCACTCAGAGCTTTAAATCGATAAAGATCTGAGGGGCACTGCCACTGCGCCCGTCACCCTGGGACATAAGTTGTTAACTCTCATGTACCTGTAATTTCACTAGCACCCTTACCCTTCAAAACCGGAACTCAGTAATGCTGACATTGCTGGTTGGCGGCAGAACTACCTTGAACGAACTCTTTCACAAGGAGCTCTACTGCTACTAAGTTATATTGTTTATGACGATCAATTTGAAACTGACCCCGCCAGGTTGGTCTAAGTGAAATAATCGATGTGGTAAGATAACATTTTTGTGCCTACACAGGCGGAGCAAATCTTCAAGAAGATCTGCCCGGGAGAAGAATTTCTGCCGCGCGCGCCTGACCCAGAGGAGATCGTGTTTGAAGATGACGTCACCCACGGGCCCGCTTTCCGCAAAGAGGACGGCGACGATGCCGAAGGACCTAAAGAATAAGCCGCTCCACGCGCAATTGCCAACGCGTTTCAGCGACTCTGCGCCTCGCATGTACTTTGTAATGAGTCAATTAAACTTGTATAAGATATCCTCTATGTAAAAGATAGTGCAGATATCACTCCGCTTGTGGATTTACTCCGAACCCATGTTTTTAAATGTCTTATTATAATGTATGGTATTTGCGTGCGAATTGCGGAGGTAGTGATGTAGATCCGTATGTGGAGCGAAATCTGCATAGATTCAGCAAAGTACCCTTCAAACGTTAAGTTTCTGAGAGTGGCGAATATGTGGAGTAATTAATGGGTTCACGTGACTTGCTCTTAGCCTAGCCATTAATTACATTAATCAATTCGAGTCGCTCAGACGCGCTGACACGTGAAGTTAAAGCTAAGGTGTAATCTTAGTAAGATTTATACGCTTTTCTTGTATGTTTGTTTCGACGTCGCAATAAATTTTGTTTATGGAACACACGTATGAACAATGAAGAAATTGAGACGCCAGTCAAACGTGTCTGTGGTTGCTTGACTTCGTGCATTCCGACTGGTGCGTTTCGAGTAGGTAGTGTATGATCTCCGGTTGTGCTGACGTTCGTAGGATAGGTGTCGAATGGACACGCCACCTGCCGAGTTTACTAGCGGATATCATGTGTCCATTGTTTATAAACTTATAAACGTGGCATTGTTGTAGTCAAGCAACTCTCGTATGTCGCTAGTATACTTATAAGTGCGGAAACACTGGCTAATGATGGCACAGGGTTTGTGGAACAAAATAAGTCGGCTATGTGGTCTTGATATGGGCAAGATCCACATATAGCACTTTTCATAAATCAATACGAATATCCATATTTAGTTAACTGAACTTTTGGGGAACTGCCTACACCACATTTATCGACTTGAACCGGGATGAACAAGCGAAAGAATCAGTTCAAGTCCATGCAATAACAGCGAAAAAGAAGTTGTTTCTCAACGTCTGATAATGCGATGTAACGCACACACTCAACCTAGCCCCGCTAGGGAAACCCTGTGTCGCGGGTGCCATGGACACACAAATAGATAACCACAAATTACACCCAAACTCACAAGAGAAATAAATGTAGGCCATACAAATATTTCTCCTGGGCCGGGAATCGAACCTGGGACCTCTGCATGGCAGTCCGGCACAGTAACCGTTCGGCCACGAAGGCAGTTAAATTCACATCTTTTTCGCCAATTCCGATTTTCATCGATAAATGAATACGTCTACACACTACGCCAACATTATTTTTTGGTCATTTTATGTTATTTTCTTAAACAGCTGTGAACAAAAAATAAAATTCGGAAAAAGAACAAAAAAACAAAATTTTGTGAAAAAAAACAGAACAGGTCCAAAAATTAAGTTGGCATAGTGTTCATTGGAGGTATCGAAATGTGGTATAGAGAATCCTTAATCAGTGAATACAAATATTACTTTCTAAGATGTACTCTAATGATTTCAACCATTAATTTTGAGCATAAACGGTGTTAGTCAAAGTAAAAAAATACTTTATCTAAAGCTCTCTCAGAGGAGACATGCAAGGCAGTGGGACGTACATGGGTTGATGATGATGATTAAATTACATAAGTGCAATCTTGCTAGGTAGTTATTAGCTAGATAGGCGGCAGATGTTGAAATGTTAAGCGTAATATTGTGGACGCACCAGTCCTAAAGTATAGACGTAGCACATTATCATTTTTTATTGTTTAAATTATTTAGCACTTTTAAAATATTTATTATCGAATAATGAGCATAATCAGCCTGCGCAGCTTGTGCATTTATAATTCCAATAAAATGTGATTAATAGACTATGGTTTGGTATACCAAAGTTATCCTTTTTCACCCCACTAATATTATGCAGTTGTATGCGTGACCAATAATTGTGCATTTAAGTCGGAAAAAAGTCGTTCTAGACGTAAAGGAATGGTAAGTCGTGCGGGGAGACTCCTTTCGGGATAGTTTTAAAGTTATAATGACGTTTTACTGTCCAAACTGGAATAAGCTTATATTAATCACCATGAATAATAGTCTTGAATGGTCTCACAAGGCACACATTTTTCGTTACATGTTATTTTTGATATGATTTGAATCGCCAATATCTTTTGGTCTAATGAGCGACTAATTTAAAAATTTTATAACTAGAACTGACTAATTAACAACTTGTTCAGAGTGCCATACAATCTAACCTAGGAGCTGTAAGTTCTCGAGATTGAAGAATATTACCACTGGAATAACCTTATTCCAGTAGGGACAGTAAAACATTCTTGTGACTTTAAAACGGCAGACCGACTAAATTACGTCTTTTTACCTGACTAAGCCAATTACAAATACTCGATTGTGGTCACGCTGGAATAAGGCATGCCAGGGGTACAAACGGCAGCACATCAAGCTACACACGTTGACAGGTCTTGTTCTGTTGCACTGGAGGCGGTATTCGATCAAAAATATATAGCTTAATGTGTAGATTGTATACAGGGTTATTTTTAAAATGCAACAACTTTTGGTCAATGACTTTTTACAAAACATAATAAATTTACCAAAAATAAACTTTTAAGTTTTTGTTGTAGTATCTGATACTTTTTAGATCTGTATTTGGTAGAATAAGTTCAAACGTGCATCCGCCTCCGCGACTACTGCCACCTCCGTGCCGCACAGAATTTATTACCGTTTACAGCATAGATTCCCAAACTTTTTAGCTCACCGCTCTTAGACAAGATGAAAAAATTTTAACGCCCACCATCACAAAAAATAATTGAAAACACGTATTTTTATATTAACACTAAAATTCACAAGGATAAAATGTAGTATAGTTTATATTTCGGATTATTTTTTCAAATGCAGTAGCACCCCCTGGACAGCACCAACGCCCTCCACTTGCTTCAGAGGCCTTCTGTCTCCCTAGGACTCTTCAAAGTAAATTGTCTTTAAAAACTACACTACATATTAATAATTTTTTTCGTTGTAATTTTTTGTGTTTGTGGTGGTGGACGTTGAATTTTGTTTATCTTGCCTAAGTGGGAGGTGATCCAAAAACTTTGGGAACCTATGGTTTAGAGCTATCTATTTATTTTTGTATGAAAGTCAATTATGATGAATTATTAAGTCATGGAACAAAAGTGGTTGTTTATGATGTTAGTAACAAAGTTCTGCGAGGTTGTTTAAAAATAACTTTGTATATAGGGAGTAAAACACCAAATGGCCAAACTGCTAGTAAAAAAATTAATCGCGAAAAAAATATCAGTGTTTCCCACAGTAATTTAAATAAGAATTCCGTGGTGTTTCCTGTTTTTTTGATTCCCCATACAAATCTCAAATTGTTCTGTTGCCAACTTGTGGTGCACCTTTTTGTTGGAGCCCGTTTAAGAAGCTTTATAAGTGCAACAAGATTATACTCGGTTAATCCTGTTACACTCCAGTTACTTGGAATGGAATTACATACAGAAAATTGATATCACTATAACTTAGAGGTAAGTAAAAGTCACAAGTTCTAATGCACACTTTATTATATTAGAACAAGTATATCTTGCATCTGGTCCATTTTGTTTGTATAAAAAAAACTGATGATAAACTTTTAAAAAATGGAATACTTTTCTTACAGGAAAAACATTTTTCTGCTTAGGTCACTGTGTAGAAGCAAAAATTTATTTTCTCAATATACAAATAGTACACAAAATAATATTTCATCAAAATCTAACAGACTACTTATAATCACATAAAATATATTTTTTTAAATCATTGCAATATACATTTTATATCACATACAATGAAATGATACAGGTATTTAATTTTCTCTTAAAATAATCTTTTCTCATATGAAAACAGACCATGTACATTGCCTTCAAGCTGTGCTGAATAAGTCCTCTTCATAAATCTTAGTTCTCCAGAGTGGCTCATCTCCCTCAAAATGCCCACAGAGCGAGCACCAATATCTTGGCAGCTGTGTTGCAGCCCAGCTTGGAGATATGGCAGGAATCTTAGTACAGAGCCTTTGTCCACAATGCTTCCACTTACTCCCTGAGCGACCCTGTGTTTATCAGACTCCTTATGGAAATATCTACTCATGGCAGATCCCTTTCCTTCCTTGTTCTCCATGGCCTCCAAACTGCCCATTCCCCTATACTTCTTCAGTCTAACTCCATCAGAGAAGAAATACTCTCCTGGAGCTTCAGATGTTCCAGCAAGAAGGGATCCCATCATGACAGAAGAAGCACCCAATGCTAATGACTTTACTATGTGTCCTACAGACTGGATTCCACCATCTGCAATAACTGGTACATTGAACTGGCGTGCATATGAGGACACTTGATAGACGGCTGTGGCCTGAGGACATCCACATGCCATCACTTCTTGTGTTATACAGATTGAGCCACTGCCCATACCAACTCTAAGTGCATCAACACCTGCTTCTATAAGATTTTTTGCTTGCATCCTGGTAACCACGTTTCCACCAATCACTTGAATGTTTGGGTAGGTTTTCTTGATAAACTTAATCATTTCAATCTGATAGGTAGAGTTGCCTTGTGAAGAGTCTAGTACAATGACATCAACACCATTTTCAACAAGCAGCTGAAGTCTTTCCCTGTCTCCCTCTCTTGTTCCAATAGCAGCTCCCACTAGTAGCTGTTTGTTAGAGTCCTTAGAAGCATTAGGGTAGCTTCTGGCTTTTTTTAAGTCGGTCCTAGCAATCAGAGCAACAAGTTCTCCTGCACCATTAATAATTGGAAGTTTTCCTTTTTTACTCTTCTCAAGTATGTAATTAGCATCTTGTAGAGTGACTCCAGACTGAGCAGTTATCATTTCTTCTATTGGAGTCATCACTTCTTTCAAACTAAGGTGTGGATCACCCTCCCTGAAGTCAATATCTCGAGATGTAACAATGCCTATAAGTCTTCCACCAAGTTTTCCATTCTCTGTAATGGGATACCCAGTAAAACCATTTTTCTTTTTAGCTTCAATAACATCAGCAACAGTATTTTCTGGGCCCATGCATACAGGGTCCCTGATAAATCCATGTTTATATTTTTTTACTTTATGGACTTCATTAGCTTGGTATTCCGCAGTACAGTTGTGATGGATGATGCCGATGCCTCCGCAAAGAGCCATCGCAATGGCCATGTCGGCTTCTGTGACGGTGTCCATGGGCGTGGACACCAAAGGGGCTTTTAGCATTATTTTTTTAGTAAGTGGTGATGCGAGACATACCTCCTCGGCAGTGAAATTGATGTAGCCGGGGAGCAATAGGAAATCATTGTAGGTAAGGCCCTCGTTGTTGGCGAATACCTGAGCAGCAGACATCCCATCGCGAAGATCGCCTTCCGCTCTCGCAGACATGTTTGTAACAAGACACGTGTAACGCTATCCACTCGTTACTCTTTTAACCCAACTGTCGTATGTCTGATAAAAGATGATGTATACTTCCTGGTAAATTAATTATCAAAGTTACACAAACACGTACACGTGGAACGTGCTTCCTAATTTGTCAGTGATTAAGTAGTAACTGTGTTAAGCTGGATTGTCCCGACTATATATTGGATACTTGTTTTACGTTACTTTATACGTATATACGAATGTGCGGCACTATTTTAAATATTCTTAAAAATATACATATTAATTAGATTTACAATAAAGAAGCACGATGCACGCGACTTACACCGGCTTCTTCATTGATCAACGTGACAGTTTGGAAGTTGGGGTTGCCACAAATTAATGGGGTTGCCATGCCGTAATATTGTATCTCTCTTTTTTTTAATTTTCTTATAGCGATAGCGTTTTGTTTTTCAGCGTAGTGGCGCCTGATTTATTAGGCTGCTATTCGACGGAGTGCAAGTAACATTTCTGGCATAGATAGACACTATAATTGAGGGTCCTAGCGATGAGCTTATGACATTTATTGATTTAAAAAAAATTCAGTTTAACTCGCAATGCTCGCACAAGTATTTTTTTCCATAATAATTATTACTTGTAATATGAGGAGTAGAATCATTGACTTACAAATAAAAGTAGAACCTGCAAAAATGATCTAGGAGATGTCACTATGCCAATAGTTTGTTTACATTTTTTTTTAAATCCAATTACACGGAAGTCCGGTGTTGTTAATATTTGTATACTGATTGTGGCGCAATCAGAAACAAATACGTAATTGCATTCTAAGCATTCATCCATCAGTGTTGTATTGTGAAATAGAAGATGATTATGATATAATTTACCTAAGATTAAGATGAAAATAAATTATTTAAAACAGTCAATAGCAAGTTTCCCAGATTACAGATTTATTTATAAATGTTGCTGGAAATCAGTAGCCCGTTTATGCAGGCTCTCTGTAGGCGTCACAAGCGGTATTTGACGTCCCTAAGACCCTGCGACTGTGGGCACCATGTATATATTAAATTTACTAATATTTTTACTTATCTCGTTTGTTGAGCATTCATTTTATAGAATGTCGTCATTCGTGTAACAAAAAAAAATAGGAGCCAGAAGGGCCCTGAAATTAACGTCATTATTAAAGTAAATCACTGCTCATTAAGTATTTAATTGTTCAATTAAATAGTGTAGATGAACGCCTGTAGTGCAGATAGAGCAAATGATATAGGAATACATATAGGGCAGTTATATATGTAAAGGCGCCGATTTCCTCGACCACATACTTTATGTTATGGTTACACATACTTACTATCACGACTATCTCCTAATGGGGTAGGCATAGGCTATGGGTCTCCACTTACAATGCTTGTTGCTTGTGCGTTTGCGTGTTAGAAATTCCGTAATTGCTTGCAGTATCGTATAGTATAGGTACTAACTACGGCAAGCTCTGTATTAAAATACATTGTATTGGCACAGTCAAGAGTACATCAAGCTTGACACTTTGTAGTTTGGACCGTTCTCATAGTAAGCGGTAGCAGTAAATAGAGTTTGATTTAAGTTTTAATTGTCAAGCTTGACGTACTCTTGACCCTGTACATGACGGCATAGTCTTTTCTCATCATCAAAAACGCATTGTTATTTTTCATAAACCAGCTTGTTATTACTATAACATTCTAGTAGCCTAACCACCATAGTATTTGCGTACTTAGGCAAGTACGTAGGTAATTATGTTTCCCACCTTATTTCGGAATCATTATCACTAAAAGTAACTTGTGTATCCGACGGTACTTTAATTAGAATTAAGTGCTCAGGTAGTTGCTGGTTGTTTTGAATAGATAAAGATCGTCATTCAGGCAATCTTTGTGATGTTGCTTACTCACTCAGCGTCAGCAATAATTTCAAATTATTTTTTCTTTACACAATAATATTAGATTCTTATATAATAACATATTTATCTAATATAATTATTATTGTTTACTGAATAAATTGTTTAAAACGGTTCAATTTTCATCAACTTATAAGTACAGGGTCAAGAGCACGTCAAGCTTAACACTTAAGATTTAAATCCAAATCTATGCCGCTTACGATAAGAATGGTCCAAAGTACAAAGTGTCAAGCTTGACGTGCTCTTGACTTGTACACCATAGCAGCTAGTACCTCAAAACTGTGTAAATCACGGAAGAAAGAAAATCTGTGGTGTAAATACTCAATTTTTAACTGTAGAATTAAATAAGATAAAAGTATGTACGTGACTTTGTTGTAATTTTTTAAAATAGAAGTTTAATTTTTACACATTATAGTTATCTTTCAACAATTTCAAAGATGATCTAATTGTTCTTTTTAAAAATTCACTAAAAGAATATTATTAATTCCTAAAATAAATTATTTTTACCATTAAACGTTATTAAACCAAAATATATGTATATACATCTAATTCTCGCATTTTTATTTTTATACAATACAAAAATATTGTTATCAACAAAGTTTACAAATTGAAATTTTCGACCTGGACTTCATATGGAAGTGACCAATTAGTATACCAGTTTCAAAATGGCGTAATAGTATTTGATCTGCGAAACTTTTTTGTAGAGTTTTAGGTACGACTGAAAATGCAATTTGGCACTAATTATGTATCTGAGATTGTATTTAGAGACATATGCTGTTGTCTCAAATAGCTGCTTGGCAATCAGGTTAGCTTTTGTACTTTGTTTCGTGTTTCCTTTTTAATAATAATTAAATAACGCACTCATAACCTCGCACACCGAAAGTTTCCTATGGGAAACCCTGTATCGTTGTAACTCTATTTTGGGTTAAAGATAAAGAAGAATGTTTTATTATTGAGATTATTTTTATATTTAAATTACAAGTTCTTGCACTTTTTTTTTAAATACTGTTGTAGGTAACAAGGTGCTTTAGAGGAAAAAATACAATACACGAACTTACCCGATAATTAAAATTTATTTTAAATAAAAAGAACTATAAGACTTATTTTCAATCTGCACGTAGAAAGGTCCATCTTTTGCAACTTAATTTAATCAGTCGGAATACACTGTGTAGATCCGTTAACCCTTATGTGTCCCGTAGGACATTTGTCTCCGTCAAACGAAGCACGCTGGTCAAGAGTAACATTGACAATGTTGGTTCCATTTACAATTTGGAGATCGTTGGGCTTACTTGTGACACTGGGCTGCATTATTTTTGTCTGGGTAGATTTGTCGTCCTCGAAATCAACTTTATAGTTTTCATTATTGTCACGCCTCTCGTGAACATTGGTTTTGTTAACCTTGTTAATGTTCGGACGTGATTGTGGATCTCCTTTGCGCTGCGGAACGGGTTCATTTTCATTTGTTGGATATTTTCCCGCATAATTCACTGGTGGTTTGTCACTTATAGAATGATTAAGAGAAGGATTGTTTGCATTATTAAAATTTGCATTTGACACATCCGGCTGGTTGCTCTTGCCTGGACTTTCTTCTGTTCCATATTGTGCCCTTTGTTCCTGATAATGTGTTGGTTCGTTGATAATCACAAGTGGTGGTCTGTTCTCTAAGTAAATATTGTCATTGTATTGGGCATTTTCGATGTTAGAGTATCTAGCTACATCAGTAAAGGTTCTATAGTTAGGACTATATATATCTACACGCGGAACAAACAGCTGTTGACTTGGTAGGTTCTCTATGACGGTCACTGGCGGCGACGGAAGGTTAAGGTTACCACTTCCTGTATTGCGTAACCGGTTAATGTTCGACCTCACTGGACTTTGAAGAAAACGCTGCAGGTCTCTCGGAGGTGAGTCCAAAATAGGTAGAGATTGTGTATTCACTGCTTGATACGCGTCCTGATTATCGGCAGTTTTAGCTAACGCTAGAATACACACAGTTATAAAAAAGCAAAACATAACTGTACTTTTCACACTTGTTTGTGATTTTTCAAATAGTAATGTGTATTTATCACAGAGACTGATCACAATGGTCTTGGTTGAGAAGCAGCTGGTCGCGCAATAAGGAGCCGGCGGTTTGATCACTCGTCTCCACGGTTTTTGCACTTAAGGCCAAGTTAATGACGGTTAATGACGTTTTCGTGAACACAATAAACAAGGAACTTCGTGCTGACTAGATGCGGTGTGTAAAGTGACGATATAAGTGTTAAAACTTTTAGTTTAACGAGTGCGTCACTAACCGACTATAACAAGAAATTGACCAGGAAAACAGTTAAATTATTTATTTTATAGGTAGTTCTGCAATTTTTGCCGAGGTCTGGGGCAATAACAATTAATTTGGAAGGATATAGAACTCGTTTAGTATTCCCCTTAAGACGGCCGGCGGGGTAGAGTGGAGAATTCCAGTCCGCTACTAGGCTAGCCTGACCGCAGCCTTCCATCGAGATAAGATTATAAAGTGTTGGGCATTTCCTCTCATTTACATGATTGCAAATTGCGTGTGCTAAAAAATATGATGCGTCAGAGGTGTTCCAAAAATAAAAATAAGTAGGTGCAAAGCACGTCATAACAAGTTAACCAGTCAAGAAATTAATTAAGCATGTAAACAGATGGTGATGGTCGAATAACGATACATAATTAATTAGCTCTGGTAATTCTTTTATAATTTTTGTTTATTTGGTTTGGTTATAATTTGAAGAGACCTAAATTTGCTGAATTAAACACTTGCTTAATAACTCTCGAGGACTTAACATTTATACAATGAAAGACAGCGATATATTGTTTCATATATTTGTTTTAAAAAAGTAGTAAAAATTACAAAATGAGTAAATAAAATGCCATACTTACTAGTTATTAAATAAAATTCTGACACCAACTATTTATTAGTTGTCTTGAAACCTCTTATGTCTATTGGGTATTCACCATCATCATTATCTGAAGCGGGTTTATTACTATCCGTTTCCCTTTTTGGTGCTGCTATATTAATTTTCTCGCCTCCGTACACGTATTCATTGGGATTTAGTGGCACGAACTGGGGCACATCAGATTCCGTTGTTGTTTTATCATTTTGGTTAGGTTTCTTTGTATGGCTATCATTTTCATGAATTGAACCAAACGTGGGACGCGTTTCCGCCGTTGGAGGTGATTGCGTTTGACCATAGTTGTTCTGGCTTGTGTATCCATTGTTTTGAGTCGACTGATCCGAAGGTTGGTTGTTGTAGCCGTTATTTGGATTGCCATACCCTTGTGTTGTTTGCTCCGGTCTATTGAAATTGTTCTGATTGACGTGTTGGTATTGATTACCGTTATGATTATGTCCGTAGCCGTTGTGGTTGCCATTGCTGTTGGGATGTTGTCCATAATGGTTATGATAGGGTCTGTTTGAGTTTACGTTATTGTAATTACCATTTTGGTTTTGCCAAGGTCGTCCATGCCCAAAATTATTATGTCCATGAGGACGGTATGGTCCGTTGTTATGATTGTATTGTCCATGTCCTTGGTTTGGTCGATTTTGAGGTCCAGGACTGTAATCATTGTCGGGGCTTTCATCAACGATGACAATTACCGTTTCTGGCTGTTCTGTTCTGGGTGGTTGGGGGCGAGAATGACCACCAACTTGCACGTGACCTTCGAAGTTAAATCCGCCAAGAACAGTATTCGCCACTCCTTGCACCGTATGATGAACATGTTTGTGTGCCCCACCTAGTATGCCCGTAAGTGAAGGCAGGTGACCGTTACATTGAAATATCACACTTACTAAAACCACTATTATAACGTTCCTCAGCATTTTTTGAATTATTTAGTATTACTGTGTAAACTGATATCCTTTCGAGATGGGACGATTCACTGCGTAGTGTACAGGCGAACGACTGCGGTCAAGTTCGTCTTCGCTTGATTATCTCACAAAAACCTGTTTTATAAAGTAATTCGTCGTAGCTAATACATATTTTTTACAGAACATCCTCGTCTAAGGTAAACTTGTATTTATTGAGCGGATATCACTTTAATTGTATTGGCACTAAGTGTAAAATTCCCAAATCAAATAGCTCAATATTTTTTTCGCGGTTAAAACCCTTGCCTAGACACACACAGCATGCGGTGGGAATACCTAAATATACAAAATGACGAATATAATGTAGATAAATATATAACGTAAATTATATAAAAACTAAGTAAAATAATAAGATTCATCAATTGTAATTAATTCTATGTAAATAATAGTAAACAATACATCTTTAGGTTATTATTGGTGGCGTACATCAATATCATAATCTTGATCATTATCGTTTATTTTATTCTTGTTTCCATTGTTTTCCTCTTTTATCACGGGCGTTGGTGTGACGTATTCTGGTGCAAATGTATTCATTGGTATGGTGCTCTGAGGTGGTGATTGGTTGTTGGAAGGATTGTTTATAAACTTCACCGTTTTCGGCAGACCGTGATACAAATCAACTTTGAAAAAAGCTGGAGGTTGATTAAAAGTTATACGGTCATCGTAACCAGGGTTATATGGCCTTGAAATTATTGTACCTATGCTTAATTGCATGTTGGGAATATTACTCAACGACGGGACGTTAAGTTGGGTACTTCCGAAGTTAGAGCCGTGCAGAATCGTAGAATATAAGTTGCTGTTCCTTGGGTTGTAAGTATTCTGTAGCTGATGATTCGACTTGATGATGAAGGATCTTAGGACTCCAGGATGTCCAGTCAATCCGTTTGCCATGTTATTCATATCTTGTAGAGTGTTTTGGAGATTTTGCAACACGAAACTTTGCAACTGTTGAACATTGTTCTGATTTATCGCAATCACATTTGGAAGTTGCGCGGGCACTTTCAACACTAACTTCAAAGTAGTCAATAACACTAACATAAACTTTGGTATTAACATTATAGATTTTTTTTGCTATACACATCTGGTATTGAACCTACCAGCTAGCTAACCTGTGTTAAAAAGGCTTTTAAATGTAGAAATGTCCGTAGGACTCATTAAAATGCACTTAACAAATGATTCGCTGGTACTAAGTCACATCATTTGTTAAAGAGTTATTAATGTCCATTGGACAATATTTATTAATGTAACTTAGACAATATTTGCTAATGATACATTGGCTACCGTGACTAACGAACACCACCAAGATCATGTGTTTAAATAAATAGTTCAGGAATACTCGTAGATACGATGGTGTTGCATAGAAGCCATGATACCTATACAGATGTCGCGAAAAGGTCTAAGTTGTTCTATGTACCTAACATATCGATATATGTATTAGATCCCAAGTAAGTTCTTTGTCATGGAATAGCATTTTTTACATCTTAACTTAGTAAACATATATTTTTATGTGTATTTTATAAAACCTACATTTTCATATTTAAAAGTAACAAAATACTTAGTGTTTTCTTTACTTAATATATACTTAATAATAATTTTAATCTTAATAATATTACTTAATAACATGGCATCTATAATATATACAAAAAAGATACATTTTAAGTGAAAAAGTAGAAAATGCTATTTTGTAGAACAATTTGCGAGAGAGGTATCGATATATCTCCGTACTAATTGTACGTAGATGTATGGCTAAATACGTCCAGTACCTATGCTTTTAAAAAGTGAAGTTAGCTGTTGTATATATCTAGATATTTTAAATTGATGCTATACACTTATGGTAAATCTCGCACTTGAAGAAGTGTAGTTTCTTTAGATCTCGAGAGACTGGATGTTACATTGTATACAGACCAATTAATTGTAATTCAGTAATGTATATACGCTGTTGGTGTAGGTACGTAGACGACAACTGAATTAGCTTATAATTTTATTTATTTCTTAAGAATTGGTGACTTGTCGTGTAGGTAGGTACGTCACTTGGTATTCGCAGAACAAGACAATGAAATACTTACAAGCATTTATATTTCTTTAATGTTAAATATTTAGTAGGCAGCTTAATTGTGACGTACTTGCAGTTAATGTATGGAAAAATCCACAAGGCATCCCAAGTACATGTAAGTACAGTCATGGTGTTTCCCGTATTAGTTATCGTTACGCTTCAAGTACAGTTATCAACAAGTTGGACTTTGAATCACGTGTTGGATTGAATTTGAATAATATTTTAATAATTAAGTTTGACGACCTCCGCCTCCGTGGCCGAGTCAATGTAGAAAAACTAACTTTTCTATATTGTCTTGGATCTGGGTGTAACATGGGTGCTTTAGTTACTTGGCATCAGAGCAATATGTGATGTTGTCTAATATTTCGACTCATCCGAATAACAAGAGTCCGATGTGGTTATACAGCGAAACGAGGATAAATACATAATCTCGATAATGAAACTAAGGCCTGTCTATAGGCGTTTTCAGAATTTTTATGTTATTTAATTTGGGAAATATAAAATCTAACAACCGCGGATCCGATATCCTCAGCGAAGAATAACGATAGAAATATACAGTCTCAGGAGAGAATAAGCAGTCTTGCACTTAGGTCTTTGTTCTATGGACGAGTCGATTTATTTAATTTCCATTTAGTGTAAGACTGTTTAACTAGGCAATTACTACTGAACGTAAATAAATTCCTAGTTCCGTGCAAAGATACTATCAGAATTGCGTTTAAGATGTTTTAAATCGCTCTTTCATTTATGTGTAAACACAAACAAACTCAAGACACACGGATGTGAAATAAGTGCAAATTATCTGTCTGCGACCTTGTTGTTTACCATTACTATTGTTGTCGGTTTATCACCTATGTTCGAATACACACAGCAACATTACATATTTAAATTTGTTCTTCTAAGGAAATAAAACAATATGATTTCGTTAAAATTGTATTAAATAACAAGAATTTAAAGTTAACAGCAGAAGTCGTTAACGAATAGAATTTGACAACAAAGGAACGTTAGAAAATACAAAAATAGAATTAACATCAAGTATACCCGTACAACGAAAAACACACGATTTTGGTTTACTTTTGAATGACTATTGCGATCAAAGAAGTTCGTTCGGTGTTAGTGGCGGCTGTAAAGCTGCAAGCTACTTTTTGTACATAAAGCATTATGGTGTGAGATTCTTCTTTTAAGATACTTTTTTTATTATACCAAGTAATGGGACGAACAAGTGGTACAAGTGGTGGTGGAACTGGTGGTAAGCGACACACCTGTCCTTAGCAGTTGCATTGCCACTCAGTTTTTTTTATAATATCAAGTGATGGGACAAACAAGTCGTGCGTCTGATGGTAAGCTACACGCCTGTCCATGACAATTACAGTGCCACTCAGAGCTTTAAATTGCAAAGATCTGAGGGGCACTGTCACTGCGCCCGTCTCTCCGAGACTTGAGTTGACAAGTCCCATGTGCCTGTAATTTCACCAGCACCCTTACCCTTCAAAACCGGAACACAAATCTGAGGGGTACTACTCGAAGAACTCCTTGTGAAAGCGTTCATCCAAGGAAGTAGTGCCACCTTTAACCTATTTCTGTAGTCATGCCGTAACGTGAGCAAAACGGCGCGGCGTTCCGGTTTTGAAAGGTAAGTGTCCTGGTGAAATTACAGCCACACGGGTTTTGTCAACTTTTGTCTCATGGTGACGGGTGCAGTTGCAGACCTCTCAGACCTTTGCGATATAAAGCTCTGAGTGGCACTGCAACTGCTATGGACAGGCGTGTTGCTTAGCATCAGGCGCAGGACTTGTTCGTTCCGTAACTTATCCGTCGTTCATCACAGAATCCTTTGCAACTGTCTGCCCATATTTTGACCGACATCAAAATAGGGAGGAGTTACGCGATAACTCCGCCATTTGTGAACCGATATTGATGATTCTTTTTTTGTTGGAAAGAGGGTACCTCAGAAGTTGTCCCATTTAAATTCGAAGAAAATATTGCACCCCTAAGGGTGGTAAACTAGGGGATGAATGACTGTTGAGGTCGATTTTTTTAACCGGAGGTTAGGTTATTGTTCCACTAAGCACGAGTCCTCTGAAGAGATTGTTATCAGTGTATTTTTCGCTTATTCAGAAAGTCCACTGCAAACTTATTTTAATCGCGGCAGTCATTCTTTTTGAATAAATTTATGAGTTATAATTTATTACGACTCAGAATTCTTAGGATTCCATAAAGATTAACGCAACTGGTAACTTTGATATTTCGCGAAATAGTAAAAAAAATGTATTTCAGCTGTTTTACTGAAGGAAACCCTTCAGTTTGGTTTTGTTTCTTGAGTTTTTTAGTTATAGGTAACATAATATAATTTTAATATAATTGTATACACATTATATAATGAAGGCTAACAGATTATCTTTATGGAATCCTTTACAAATTAAAAAATAACAACGACTAAAATATTATTATCTACAATCTTAATATTAATAAGGCACATTACACTTAATTATATTTGGTTAAACACACAGTGATCTACAACGATTTTGCTTTTACTGAAAAGGTGGATATTTTAATAAATAGAGTGTTAGTGGAGGCGGTGCATATTTATAGAACATTTAAAAACTTATATTTAAGGAACAGGCTGCTCAGGTCCTAAAGGTGCTTCTTGACGGTGTAGCTTCACCGCAACTTGCACAGGAGCACGTTGTGCCACTACATTGTACACGGAACTAAAATTTAATATTGATTAAATTTTAAATCTCTACTTTGTTTTAATAATAATTCAATTTGAATATCATCATCGCCATGATCTTTAATATTAGTATTTATTCGGAAGTCAGATTCCCCGAACGATTAAACTTAAACCATTACAAGGTGGCTTGCCAGCTGACAATGGGTAGTCCACCTGACAAAACTGGGCAGCCTTGTTATATAAAAAAAAAACGTATTGCACAACACCACATTGCGAAAGGTTAAAGGGTTATTGCAATGCTCATGAGTTGCCAACAACATTCCCTTAAAAAACTAAAGTATTTTTCAGGAGATTACGACAGAATTGACAAAGAATAACGACATTGTGTTACAGTTGTGAGAAAGCCTGAGAAAAAATATGTGAAGGGTCGACCATATTATAAATTTGGGAATCAAAAATGTTATGGCAGTTTGCACACTTGATCTAAAAGCGCCCTGCGTTGCGGTTGACAATGCAATGCAAATTTTTTGTACATGATTATTTATAATTAATCTGAAACCTTAACACGGCACTCACATTAACAAACTACTTTTATCTTCGTTGTACTTATATTAAGTGTTTGTTTTTCGGTTAATTTGTATGGGTTGTGATTTGTATGGGAACTGCAATAAAAATGTATGAATTTCCAGTAGTAGTAGAAAAAAATTTGTTTGTTTTTAGTTATGAATTAAAATATTCAAATTCAAAATTATACATATATGAATAGTTCTCGTTGACACTCCTCTACAGTTCGTAATAGTTAAGAACACAAACAATTAAAACACATAAATATACACCTGAGCAAAAACGACACAATTATACCTTAATTGAGACAGAATAACCCAACGCACAATGTATAAATTTAAGTGCAGATCATGTAGGTTTTGTTGTCCGATGTTTCATTGCGGCATAATAGATTTTTTTTGAGGAATAATTCCGTAAGGTTACTGCAGTGCGCGCTTTGTCTCTTGTTATTCTCATAGAAGCGATCTCATATATTTTTGGTCAGGCAATAATAATATTACAATAATTATTTTCTTAACATTATTCGCTTGCATTTTTTAAATTCTCAACCCTACATTTTAAGTACACGTTGTTATCGCAATTATAACAAAATATAGCACCATTTAAACATATATGTAGGCGGTGTTTGAAAAATTGGTATTGAAATGGTACGCACAAAAATAATTAGAAGATATCATTTTGATGACACTGTGTTAAGAAATTATGTCACTATAAATATAAAGAATTCTTGGGAACGGGTTTTCTTATTATGTTTAAGCTTTTGCGTTATTATACTATGTAATAGTAATAATAAAATAATTTATTCATTTCCAAAAGCAAATAACATAACACAGAATACGATGAAGTGTTATGTGTCTGTATTCGTTTATTTGCTTAAAAGCTTGTAGCTCAGTAAATTATGTCAGTGTTAGGCTATATTTGGAGCAGAAATAACATTTTGCAAAAATTGTTAAACCAGAATCTCATGACACGAAATCAACCAATAATAAGAAGAGTGCACGAAAGAAGCCTTCCCTTACGATATAATTCAGGGCAAAAATCGGCGAGTAACTTATATCGATTGGCAAATCGTTTCAACACGATAGCAAGCATTACAGTGAATGCCATCAGTACTATAAGAATAATAAAAATTTATGTATAAAAATCACACCACATCAAAAACGATTTTTGCAATTGGACGTAGTTAAGCAAAAAGGACGAAATAGGAAGCGTATACCTTTAATTCGTGAAGGTAGCAAATAGGTAGCAATTATTGGGAATACATATTTCTGGAAAATCTGCTCCCTTCATGCTCAACAAAGTGGCAACCAGCCATCTTGATATCAGAATGGCTGTTTGTCAATTATTTTTTGATTTCTCAGAATATATCAAAGGTACCAATTATTTAGAAAAGGTAGCAAATAGGTAGTAATTTTTGAATATAATATATATATAATAATACACTCAGTGCCAGATGCGACAGGCGACCAGCCATCCTGACGGTCACAAAAATGAGATATATGTACTAAACGGTTCCTAAAGTCTAACCTCTTAAATCAGCAAAAATAATCCAACATATATAAATATCTCTGGTACTGAGAAATATTTTCAACTTCAAACTGCCATATCTAGAAAGTGACTGGATGTGCATTGGATCCTTTTTGTTTAACTACGTCCAATTATACCAAGTGATTTGAATTTAAGTGTAACTTTGATACGCCCTTACAAGGTATCATATGTATGTACCAAAAATAGTTGTAAGTTTAATCTGAAACATCACGTGAAACGCAAATAAATGAATGTGTTGCCAGCATGATTCTTAATTTCCTAAAGCGTCAAAACACACTGACAGCGCATGCAGGTCGGGTGCGTGTCGGGTCCCGCGTCCGCTCGTGGTGTGTTTTCGTCCATATAAATACACGGAATCACACCCGCTGTGCACCCGACCCGACACGCACCCGACCTGTACCCGTTGTCTGTATGTTTCACGCTTCAAGTTAACAGATTCTGATTCATTAAGGGTTTGAGTAGTTTAGAGTATAGATACTTTTAGCCCACGGTGCAGTTGAGCTACTCAAATTGTCAATTAGTTACATTTACGAGTACGTGGACATAGCGGTAGCTAGGTAAATTGGTTCTCTAGGTGCTCCGGAGTTAATTTTGTAACTCTGGTACTCAGAGTGTAGGGAATTCCCTGCTTTGAGACCACATAAGTGATGTGATTGCTTGACATATTACTATTGTTCTGCTATAAGAACACTGAGTACGTATTCTGGCTACACTTTTTTGCTTATGGAAACTGGCTTAAATGATTAAAATTTAAAATGAAAACGATTGCTCTATGCACATTGGTATATGTATATAATATTGTAATTCTAACAATAAACACTTTTTGTTATAACTCTTTTTGATGTATTATTTTCTAAACAACTCGTAGTTAAGTTTTACTGTACTTTTCATATTTCTGTATTTATATTACTGTATATTTCGACTTAGATACATTTGTTTATATATAAATTCGGTCATGGTTTCTAGAAACTAGTCGCTATACTAAACAAGAACAATGTTTTAAATTCTACCATCATGTAACATTCGATGAACACAGTAAAGTTGTTATGAAAATTTCTTATTAAATACATGGTGTATTGCTAACATTAAATTTTTATTTTTTGTATTTTCAGCCACAATATGATAATCTCTGAAAGGTGACAATAAATGAATTACTTTTTAGGATAACGGCCTACATCAAAAACGCCTTTTTAACGCAAATTTTAAAAGAACTGAGGTGTAACTGGCCCGCAAAGCTAACGGATCCTGCACCGGCCACTTTTAACCAAGTACATTCTGAACACAGCTGTGCAGTTCAAATAGTGACATCTAATAAATTTATTTAAATTGAATATTATGTTTTTATAGTGTTTTTTGTGACGATACTCCACTACTTTGTTATTATTATTATTATTATTGACACAAAGATCGTACAAACACAAAGAAAAGTTCATTTGATACGACTTTTTTGTCACGTTGAGGCAATAGAGGCTGGACGTGGCAGTACAATCGAAGGAATTTTTCTTTGTGTTTATTCAATTTTGGTATGAATAATAATAGCTTTGACATCTAATTAAGTTGAAATTAGGGGACAATAATATTATTGTGAATTTATATTTAAAGATCGATGTACAGACAACAGCACATCAAGCTATACATTGTAAGATAGTCTTATAGAAGTTTTAGCGGTTAAAACAAATAGAAACTAAAAAAATAACTAATTAGTCAGATTTCGAATTCCACATGCAGATCCATTATAAAACTCGTTATGACCAATAGTGTTAAAATTGCATTGTAGTAGTATCACTAGTACAGTTGCCACATTGCACATTGGGTTACTTTATAGAAGTATACATACAGATTACATCGATGAGTGACGAATCTCTTGGAAAAATATTTCATCTCTCTTTGATTTACTTAATAAAGAGAAAGAAAGAAGATGTAAAGGTGTAAGGTTTTCCCAGGAGATTTTGCATTTGTAATAAGAATTTTATACGCTGACATTATCGCTTATAGTCGATATAGGCATGTGTTTGTCGGGGCCAGAGTGTAGGGGGCAGGGAGGTCGTTTCACGCTCCGTTTACAGCGGGGTCTTTCTACGATTTTACGCGTTCGTTGCGAGCTCCTGCTCGTTGGAAGTTTCGACAAATCCCCGACAGACGCTGACTTGTCGAAAACCTTCCTGTTGTTAGCGGGCTTGGGCCGCTTAGGCCGAGGTCAGTCGATCACGTGTTTGATCTTCGCGTATAAGACGCACGCGAACAGGAAGCCGAAGATTGGTATGACAGACATCCCGACACCAACGGCAGCGAGGATGATTAAATGATCGCGTATGTGATTTATGAAGTAGCGTATACATCCCTGGAAAGAAATAAAAACGTTTATACAGGGTGATTTGTAAAATACTAGCAACCACGAAGGACTATATTACTAACATCATAAACGATAATATTTGTTCCATGGCTTTTAATAATTGATCAGAGTTTACTTTCGTACAAAAATAAATACAAAATTTAAATAGATCGCTCTAAACGTTAACTCTGTGTTACTCTGTCAAGGGGATGGGCATCGTCGCGGAGGACGCTTGCACTTTTTAACTTATTCTACCAAATGCAGATCTAAAAAGTGTCAGTTAGTACAAGGACAAGAGTACGTTAAGCTTGACACTAACGGTTTAAACTTAACTCTATGCCGCTTGCAATAAGAGCGGTCCAAATTCCAAAGTGTCAGGCTTGATGTGCTCTTGACTGTACAACAAAAACTTAAAAGTTTTATTTTTGGTAAATTTATTGTTTTGCAAAACAATAAATTTAGCATTTTAAAAATTAAGCCTGTATACAGGTTCGTAACACTAGCGATGTAGTATTTATATACGTTGTTATATTTTATTGAGCGTCCACAATGTACTCCTCGATACGAGGAATCTTAAAGCTAAAAATGGAAGCATCGTCCGTCCGCGAACCCAGTGAAGGTTAAATCGAGCAAAATAGCTACGCTTGTGTTGAATATTTCGCACGCGAAACCAAATAGTGTCATAACTCAAAATTGTTGAGTTGAAAAAAAAAACAATGAAACCAATGTCGCATTGTTAATACAATAGGGAAAAGAGTGTATTAACTAAAAAGTGTATTTTTTTAGAGTCGATAAAAAATCAATTACTCACCTTCCCGTGAAATATTATTTATGTATAGGTTAAAGTTTATCACAGACATCTAAATAATTTCTAAGTATATTTAAAAATAAAATTGAAATAATAATGTCATATTTTTGAGTGAGGACTGTTTTGGCCAGAAATAGCTCACACAAAGTTCGTATCGTTTTGAGTTAAGTAGATATCTTTTAATTGTTTCTTACAATATTATAACGACGGTTTTATTGACGTATAGCTAATTTGACTAAATTTTAAGTTCAGGAAAACGGTATAATCTTGAATTTCACTTATTTTGAGTTACAACGCTATTGTAATAGCAGTGCGATATATTGCACTGTTAATACAATAGTGTACTAACTCAAATTGTGTATTTTTTCAGAATCGATGATAAACGAATTACTCACTTTCCGTGACAGATTATTAAAATTTATATTTAAATTTAAATCTGCACGGATAAAGTTTATTACAGACATGTAAACAATTTTCTACTCGCCAAATATGCCGATATTTGCATAAAGACTAACAAAAGTTTTGTCTCATTTTGAGTTAAGTAGATATCTTTCAACTGTTTCTTACAATATTCTAATTGATTAGCTTATTAGCGCTTTTATTGACGTGTAGAGAATAAAATTTTACGTTCAACATTAGTATAATCTCGAATTTCACATATTTTGAGTTACAACACTATTGTAATAGCAGTGCGATATGTTCTCGTTAATAAATGGAAAATTAAGTATTGTGTGTAAATGAAAACAATCAGATTATTCGCAATAAGATACATTGTGTATTTTTTAATTTTCGAATTGTGTTTTCTCAAATTCACAATTTTGAGTTACGACAATATTTGGTTTGATGTGCGATTTCAAGTGCACTCCATCGGCTCAAAATTAATATCACCGCTCATGTTGTCATTTTCAATTGTTCTTATTGTTTTTAAGTATATTGCTACAGTAGATAGTCAGCGTTTCATCCACTCCGTGCCTTCTTATGCTCAATTTATATTGCGGCGAAAAGAAATGGAAGTGAATTTTTGTAACGGTACAATAGTACATAGCATAATTAACTGTATGTTCAACTGTGTAACGTACAAACTAGATACGAGCCAACATCTTCCGCGGAATTCTTAAAGATTTTGGATTTTTTGAATTTTCCTTCTTGGAATCTTCTTTCTTTGGAGATTTTGAATCTTCCGCGGAATGCGCAAGCAATGCGGAATTCTCGAGCATGCGCGAGAATTCCGCGGAAGATTTTGGCTCGTATCTAGTTTTTACGTTACACAATTGACCATAAAGTTCATTATGCTACGTGCAATATCTGTTGCTAATGTTTTTTTTCTAAACTAGTGAGTTTGTTTATTCTATAGTGATAGAATAGTGTTAACTGACAGATGTATATTTATGTAGAAATTAGGGAACAAAAATATAATTGTGATTTCATATTTCAGGAGAATAATGTGAAGTTTTTTAATATTCAGCTGTCAAGAAAAAAAATGCTCTATGACACGGATATTCACCGTGTAATGTATGTTGGAGGGATGGTCTCGTGCTCCGCAGCGGATTGTGACGGTCTTGCAGCAGGAGTCGGGCACGAGCATGCGCGGGTCGTGCTCGTGCCACGCGCTGCGCCGCCAGTCCTCGAACCGCACCGCGCCACAGCATTTGAACTGCAATTGATGTTCAACTATTTAAATAAATAACGCACACACTGAACATAGCCCAGCACTAGGGCAACCCTGTGTCGCGGGTGCCATGGACCCACACATAGACAACCACAAACTACACCCAAACTCACGAGATAAATAAATGTAGGCCATACAAATATTTCTCCCGGCCCGGGAATCGATTCTGGCACCTCTGCGTGGCATTCATGGTAACCTTTCGACCACGGAGGTAGTTTAATTTGTATATTACGGGAACCTACAGTGCAATAGATGCCGAATAATAACAATAATCTTTACCTACATACATATCATAAACCCTCTGTGATATGTTCAAAAGCAGCAATTTGTTAGAACAAATTTACTACATGTGAAAATGTTATTAGTGCTTAATAATAAGATCAAATTCAATTTTATTATTACATTCAAATTTCGAACATCTTTGGAAAACAAAACAATTTGATTCGACCTCAATTCTATTATCAATCGAGATGAAGTTGTATTCGAAATGAAAACTAAATGTCAGTAGCAAACAATTTTGACAAATTTCTCACGTTACTTTTTTTTTTAATTTATTAAGGCTTTGGCAAAGCCATCAGCCTAAACATGAAGTTTAATTATGTTTCTGTAAATATGGCCGCCACAAAGAGGATAGGCAATTTGAGGCGGCGTGCTTAGATTGACTCGGGATTCCTTAAAACGGGCCGATACGGGTATTTTAGTTCGAGATTCGTATAATTTCGCGTTTTAATCTTCGATTAAGGCACAATAGCACTATTCTATTCCACTTTAAACTAGATTTCACAAAATAATTGAAAGTCAAAATAAAAACGACACTTTTCCCTCCAAAAGGTCCAGAGCGAATCCTCTCACGTTACTTGTTATCGAACGATATGATAGTTGGGGCCGACTCTAGTTTGTTTATTCATTTAAAAAAAGTACGGTTGCATGACATGCATGAGAAAAGTTATTATTTGCCGCCATTTCGCCAGTCGTAACATGCGGTTCCTGAACACATCATAGAGAGTTTATAATATTTGTGTAGATAAAGCAGTGTCTGTAACTGTACAATTGTACATAATTAGGCATTAAAACACGAGTATGGGTTTATGGAACGAGCCGTCCGGCGAGTTTCATTATGTAACAGTCACATAAAGTACTATTATTGTCTTATATCAAGGTCCTCACATAAATAAATTTATAAATAACTAACTGTAATTTTTACTAAGAAAAGAAAAACCTTGGTAAGATACTGGAGTCCATACTAGGTGTTAACCTGTGTGACAGATCTAAAGGCTCCATCTGCGGATACAATACAATACTCCTACTGTAGGTAGAGATGGGAAAAACCGCTTATTTTTTTAAACGTTTAAACGTTCTAAGCTTTTTTAGACGCTTTGCATTTAAACGCTTTTTAGTTCGAAGCTTAAAAAATCGTTTAGAAAAACTTATAAGCGCATAGACTTTTTATGTTTAATAAACTTGCAACGTTGTGTTGATAGCGAAAAGCAAGAGTAGACCACTAAAGGTTTTAAGTTAAACAAGTTTATTTATAAAACAGTGGTTTTATTTTTATTTCTAAAATTATTATTCACATTGACGAATTAATTTATTTAGGAAATATAAATGGTGGGACTTCAAACTTAGGCACGTTCTAAAAAATGAAACTGTTGAGTATAGAACTGACCAACGCTTACCCTTTAAATAAAAAGCGTGCTTAGGTGCTTGTTTAAAAAGCAAACTTTTTTAAGTGCTTTTCATTTAAACGCCCACCTATAGCTGTAGGTGCTATTTAACAAGATAAAATTCACATTTAAGATTACAAAGAATATTTGCAAAAGTAAGAAACAAAACAAAACTAAAATGTTTTTGTTTGTATATGTATTTGAGTATGCATTTTATTATATCGCGTATGAAAGCTCAAACGGTCTAGCCGTTCCTCCTTTGCCCTAATAGAATGTCTTACTAAACAAAAACATTTCAAACAAAGTACTGTAGCCTATGTTATCGAGCAAGTTTTAGAGCTTAGTATTTTTTAATAAATTATAAAGCGTGTTGCTTACGTTACTTTACACTCGATGAGAACAAGAATCATTTATTATTTGTTTATTGAGCCTTGCCTCATCAGTGATCAACCTAAGCAGGTAACAAATGATTAAGACCCTCAAAACATAATTACACTTAAACTAAAAATGCATTAGTGTAAAAAATGTAACGACAAAAATCGCCGTCTAGCTCCCTTCACAACATTTTTGAACAATTCTTTTTTTGTGATTTCAGAGACAATAATAAAAATACAGTACAACTATCTTCTTAATATCTCTGGGAAATCTTCGATTTTCAAATGCACCCGAATAGAAAATTCCTTTAAATAATTGTTATTAATGGGTACCATTATTATTACTTTTTAAATAGGTAAATAGAAAAGCTACACTACTCTATTAGGTGCTGTAAAAATAGTTGCATGAATCTCGAGTAATTTTATTATCATCTATATCATTTGAAAAAATTCAGAACGTTGTTTTCATTGAATTACCAACAAATTTGTTGGCAGGTCTATGGTTGTTTTGTTTTGATTTCCATATGAACTTTATAGAGCTGTATTCACCGGCGAAGGAATAATCCTTTCTTAATAATTACTGATTTATAGTATAAATATTATCTGGTCTTCAAAAACATATAGCCAAAATAAAGTAATAACTACTCCACATACTTCCAAGTCGATTGAGTGTGTCTAGTATGCACTAAGAGCAAAGGGCAACAGACAGATTTCTGCCCCGTTGCATTTAAATATTAAATTGCGCCAGTCAGCTGTAACCATGGGAACCAGGTTTGTTAGAAAGGACAGTTTCATTTCCCATGTGTAACAATCACGAAAATCTAAGATGCCGATATAAACTATGATCTCATTTTGATTTTCGATCGATAATTTTCAATTATAAAAAGAATTAACTTTATCGTTGTCGTGACTAGAAAATGTTAGAATACGTTTATTGGTCCAAATATAATAATGTACAGGTATTAAGTAAAATAGGGTACACTGTATTCAACCTGCAAGCAGATGTGCAAATATTAATGGAATTTCATGTTTGATTTCTACACCGTATTGAATTTCAAATGAATATAAAAAAGTGTTTGTAAATTCTAAGTATTCTTTTCAAAGAACCAACATCGTGTCAAAAGCCATTTTGCCATTTTTTTAAATAAAATATTAGTGCGCATTTGACCTTCATCTCACCTGATGGAAAATGACGATGTGGTCGACGATGAAGCATAAATATTGCCTATTCACTCTCGCCTTGAAAAGGCCCAAGTTATATTTGTAATTTAAAAGTATGTCCACAAGGAAATTCAATTGTTACAAAACAATTTATTTTCATTTGTTGAAAATAATTATACATGTTAAAGCAGTTACCATTGTAAATTACTTTATAGCAACGAGGTTGGTATAAAAGATTCGTAATATTAGTTCTAGTTTGACTCTGAATGACGTCAGCACATTACGCCAGAATATTGAGGATGAGTGTTGATAAATACATAGATATTCTTGGCATGGCAAAGGCAGTACGATACAAAGATGACAATGACACATAGGCAATATGTAGACAATGGGAAGTGAAGTAGTTTTACAAGATTTTATGCTTTTGTTTCGTGCAAAGTTAATACAATTAACGAATCGATTATATCATTATTTACATAACCGATAACGATAACTTTGCATCAGAATTTTCAATGTCAAGATGATTCATGCCGAGCAATGATTCACAAGTGAGAATATCCAAGTACGGGCTTGAGTATTGGATGTGTATAAAATTTTTGATAATAATTATTGTATGTAAGATATCATTTTACTGTTTTGGTCACGTTTTCTTGATAGTCAGAAGAGTTCGAACAGACGGGGAATATTCGCTTGTACGAGGAAAAAATATTGACCAGTAGGCAATTAAAATATTAACAAAGGAAGACGCTAAGAAATATTAAAATTATTAATATTTTAATTAAGTTTTTATTGAATTTCAGTTTCACCACCACGATATTCAATTACTTTTGTGAAATTACTCCACTATTTCGTTATAATTATTAAACACAAGTCGAGCACTTAGAAAAAAATAACTTCAATCCGGATGGATTCGAACCAACGTCTCCCAGCAAACCGTGGCAGGCGCTATGTCAATTAAGCTTACTTCGAAGTGAATTTTTTCTAAGTGTTCGATCTTTGAATGAATGAAATATTCTTTATTGCACATAAAATTACAGTTAAAATACAATAAAGTAACTTAGGTATAAATATAGTAAGATAATGTGCAACAGGCGGCCTTATTGCTATGTAGCAATTTCTTCCAGGCAACCTTAGGATATAAATTTGGGATATGCAAAGGGTTTGATAATTAAAAAAGGTTTAATAATTATAAATAAACTAATGGAGTAATATTACAAAAAAATCTTAATATTTTTAAAATTGAAATAGGACGCTCCTTACAATTATACAAAATTGAAAGCCAGATAAAATGGCCACTGGTATTGGTCAGACAAAACAATATCAGTGTTGTTATATAAATAATTAAAATATTTTAAATTTATTTTATCTTATCAAATTTTATGTTCTGTATTGAAACCTTTTACATATCCCAAGTCATTGATAGGGCGTTAAAATCGTATACAGAGCGTCATTCACGCTTTAGTCTTCGTTTGTTCGATTGACAGCGAAGCAAACAAAATTAGACAGTACTGCGATGACATCACAATTTAAATTCAACGTTTTAGCTTTTTCATATTCCTTTACATGTCACTACGTTTAAATAGGTTGACTTAGGACATTTTTTTCGTGGTTTTTGTATTAGACCCGTCGTCCATTTATTTGTAAGTCAATGTCCCAAGTCTAAAAAATTTGTATGAAATAAACTTCGCTAAAATTGACTTCCTCGGTGGTACACCGGTTTACACTATGTGCTGGAGGAGAAGGTCCCGGATTTGATTCCCGGTAAGATCAGTTTGAGAAATTAACTTTTCTAAATTGGTTCTCTCTTGGTGTTCTGAGTACTGCCCGTCGAGGTTGGTGGGTTCGTTTGCATATTATTATTATTAACAATTCTAGAGATAGAAACTACAGAGTTTCTTCTTCTTTACAGAGTTATTTTTCCGATGAGTGATTACAAGTGTTTATGAATTAAAGATATATCTTTTTAAATCAAAGGAGAGCAAAATGGATGGCAATAAATATAGATCTATCAAATTAGTTTAGTTTTAGAACTGACATATCGACGGGGATAGTGCAATAACGCGTACTAGCATTGGATTATAAGTTTCCGTTTCGGTAAATTAGTGGCCAAATCAAATAGCGTAATTGTCGTGTCAGCTAAATAAGCGATTTATGGGAATCTGTTGTTATCATAGTTATCAGTCTGTAAATAACATAAATTAATGCTTACTGTCCAAAATTAAAAGTCACAGCCATTGAAATAACAAAGTAATGACGTTCAATCATTCTCTTGTAAAATTTGGTTTAGCGCAGATACGCGCCTTTTACCAATGCTACATATGCGGATTTGCATTATCCCCGACGATACAGTAATATGCTCACCTCTGCCTGCATGCGATCGACAGCGTTCGTAATAGTGGTATCGAGAGCGTAGTTCGAGAGGAAGGTGTTGTTCAGTTCAGCCTTTAATTCGTCTTCCACTGCTACCTCGTAGTAGTATGCTAGTCCGCCTGCGCCCAACTCCAGGATAAACGTTATCAGCAGGAAGTATGTATACTGCGGGAAATAAGAAATTGTTACAAATCTATACCACTACAGTGTCAATGACACTGACAAAAGTTTTAGGTGTTTTGGAATGTGTTCCGTTCTATATAGTACAGTCTGTTGCACGTCAAGCTATAGATAGACTATTGTCACACTTAAAATCTCGCAATAAGGTACTCTTCCCTTGCCTTACACAATGTTTGTAAGCGAACATATAGAATAGAATACAATAGTTCTGGCAGTTCTGAGGAAGATATTATCCTCTCTGTGTATTACGTCCTTTAAGGTAAATATACTCATACTGTGTTTATTCCGATCTTTGCTAATTAGAAAATAGTGTTGCAACGATATAATAATGATAGTAAATTCGGCCAGGAGCGTGGCTGAATATTCGGCCAAACTATTTCGCGCACGAAAAATATCAATAATCAACTTCAGTTATTTATGATAAATAATTTTGTACGTTTTTGACGTAGGTACTTAAATGTATTTTCAAATTTATAATTTTAATGATGAAGTAATTTTATATTTAATTTCACATTTGATTAACTTTTAGAAAACTAAATTTTATTTTGGTTTGTAAAGCACTTGGTTGATTTAGTTAACGTTTGTTTAGTTCTGTGTAAACGTAGTCGGAGGTCGTTTTCATTCAATATGTTAAGTTTTTTGATTTCTTAGAAAAATAGCTTAAGCTATTCTGCATTTCCTTTCGTCTTATAGATAAAGAAGCATAAAATTGAGCTTTCGCCAACTTATATTAATTTACTGTTTTTTTTAAATTCGTCCTCCTGTTTTTAGGTATTCGGTATTCGGCCGAACATTGGTTTCGAATATAACAAAAAAGAGGCTGGCTAAGCCGAATACCGAATAGTAACTGAGTATTGTTGCTACGTTATTATACACAGGGAAAAATGCTGTGTGCAATGATGTCCTTGTCGTTATATTATTGTGTGAAAGCCACCTGTGAGTATACTTTGGAATAATATTATAATAATATATAAATATCAGAATAATGTAATAATTTGGAATATCTAGTTCGATATTATAATTGTACGTCCAACCGTCTTCAATGCACAACAAAGATGATTTATTGAGTACGTATAATTTCAATTGTTCAAATTTCCGCTTATTTATGAACGTCACAGCACTGAAGTTACGGCTCAAGATCGGTAACACACATACCGGACTTAGGTGTGGTTTATTAATACCGCTCTCAAGAGTCTACACAATCTCAAATGGCTTTGGTTGATTCCGCATAACAGCGAAAGTGTTGAATTAATCACTTTGGACAAAAACTTATAGTAAAATTGAGAATATACACTGACGTGATAACACGATTCCTAAATTTTTCACGACAAAAAACACAAACTTACCTCGAACAAACTAGAACACGTATACTACCGATACGGCATAAATTTTTCAAATGGCTTTAATATCGTTTGTAAAAAAAAAATTCTGAAATGAAGCCAGTAAACAGTAAAAGTAACCCTGCCGCTCGACTCAAGCAAAATGAACCATATTAGTACGGGAAAAAATTTAATTAGAGCTGAGGTAGAATCGACTGTTAAAGTAAAATACGTCTTTCGAAATATTCCGAAATATAATATGTTGTTGTTAAAACAAACCAAAAACAGACAACTCATTGTCATTTTAGGTTTCACCAACATAAAATAATAATGAGCTGCAAACATCTGTTCATAAGTAATGCTATAGAACTTGCATGATACTTACACACAATAAACTGGTTCTATTCTCAGTCTTAAGTCCGCAGCATCCAAGTGCACTAAGGGGGACACCCAAGGCCCCTGCTATGACGAGCAGGTACGCTATGGCCGCGTAGGTGGGCGTCGGGAGGAGAGCCACATACCTATGTCGCGAGGCCACGGTCCACGCTCCCACGGCTAGCACGCCTATACCTGCAAACTGCACAAAGTGGCACTTGTCAACGTCTCTGGCAACATGCGACATACAGGGTTATTTGTAAAATATTAATAACCTTGCAGGACTAACAATTATAATTACACGTATTTGTTTTTCGACAAACGTAAAAAAATATAGTATACAGCTATTTGCTTAATATCTCTTGGCAATCTCTTTGAACTTAGTGCAGATTGAACGCACTGAATCGATTTGCAAGTATGTAGAGTAGCTATCTACTAATCTTTATTTTGGTTATATGTTTTTGATTGTCTAATAATGTACATTGAAAATTAATTAACATATAACCAGAAAAAAGATCAACTTCTACTGTCCCGATTTTTTCCGATACAATGAAATGATCCTTACAAGAAACTGAGTCGGTTAGCATAAAATTGTCAATATTATTAATTTTTATGGACAACTCTCACTTGGCATATTTTTAAGGAGTAAATGTTAATGTAAAAACGGGAATAATTTTCCAGATCTATACATATAGTTTACATGAAAAATCAAAACAACACGAAAGTAAGTAGTTCTAAAGTAGTAAATTGTACTTGATAAAATATCTAATCCAATAATTATGGAAATATGAATTCGGGTGCGCTTGGATTTTGGAAATTCGAAGGTTGTCGAGAGGTGTTAAGAAAATAGTTGCATGTATTCAAGTAACTTGAGAGAAAAATTGTTTATAGCAGAATAAATAATAGTATATGATGACCTCGGTGACCCAAAGGTTTGCATTGTAGGCGCTGATCGAAGTCCCGGCATCGATTCTCAGTCGAATTTAAAATTACTTCTCTAAATTGGTTCTGGTGTGTCAACTGTAATTATCCAGATTTACCAGACATAACTATGTGTCATCGGCACGTAACCCTACAAAAAAGGCGCATCGATTTGTAAATATCAGATAGTTAATAATAATAATTTATTAACATGTATAGGATTCACTTCACTTAAATTCTTACCCAGATATAAAAAAATATAATAAACTATTATTTTGAAAGAGTTATAAATACAATTTATGTTATACACTTTTAGTTACTTGTATTCACAAGCGTAGTTTGTAGTACACCTAATACTTTATTTTTGAAATATCCAGCTGTTTATTTTGCCCTAGATAAGATATATTCAGAGGCGTGGGCAATATTCGTTACGTTATCTGTACACATTGCATAAGATTTCCTGCCGCGCGTAGTCCCAGCAATATATATAGACACGGATAGAAAACAAAGCGAGGCAGTGACCCGAATGTGACCTCTCAGTTTGTGCAGTTCACTGCGGAGGTGTCACATTATTTATTGGGAGTGGCATATCTATATTCAACGCTTAAATTAGAGTCAATTACGAGCACCCTAAATAAACGCTAGGGTTATGGCTGCATTTGTCAGTCCGCTTCCACGCGTCGCACCATCTAAAGTTGTCTCATACAAAACTAAGTGATGCTATGTTGAAGTTTGATAATAGCTATGCAGAAATGGATAAAAAATCTCACCAAAAACACCACATTGAAGATATGTAGAACGCATTTCAAGAAATTGACGCTACAGCAGTCTGCATCTCTTGATTTCCTTGGTTTCACTTTCTTCTTTTTAGCCAGAAGAGCTCCACCATCCTTCTTTTTCCCTTCTGCCATTGTAGCCGATTAATGAGCCAAGGCTGCTTCTTTAGTTTTTTTTCATCTTCGTCTATTCATGATGTCTTGGTTTCCTGGAAAAATAATTAGGATTTTTAAGTATTACAATCATCTTATCTGTTACATGAATTATGTTGTGAATACTTACGAAGTCTGGGAGTTCATAAGCTCTGTGGATTACTCGACGACGTTTTAATGTATAAACGAGGGCTTAGTACAGTGTTACAGAATTGAGAAGGTTTCACTACCCAAAAATTTAGATATAATCATAGCTATCAGGACACAGCAAAAAAACATATTAAACGAATTACAAGTATTTATTTTATTAGCAGAACCTTAATAATAATCTTACAAAAATGGAATATAGTACAACACTTACTCTAAAATTAGACAACACAATGTCCGAAAATAATCGCCCCATAATTAGTATGATTTTAAAATAAAATGTATAAAGTGGTAAAAAAATAGTAATTCATAATGACAAGTAGATAAAACTATTTACAGAAAGTCAGTACTTTACGGTGTAATCAGCTGTGTACCAAAAAATTATTATTTTACATTCAGTCCATAATTTCATCACATTTATAAATTCTTTAATAATATTACACAATACATCCTATCAAATACAAATCCTTTGGATTATATGTATACTTAAGACACAAAATACCATTGAAATATCAGGTATAGAGATAAATACAAGCAAGAATGGTCCAAGAGGTTTGAATACATATTTAGTAAATCACATGAAGTTAGCACTACTGTAAATTCCCTCATTCAGTGAAGAAATCCCAATTAGTCATCATAGTGAGTTAGGGCACCCTCCAATTTATTAACAATATTCTTATAGAAAGTTATTTGTTGTTTTAAGAATCTTTGCATTGCGGCTTTCAAATCAGTAGTTCTTTCTGCCTTGAAATGATTAATTTCAGCAAGTAAAGCATAGGATATCACATCTGTCCTCCTCAATACTTCATTCAGTTGAGCTACTTCCATCTTGTGCTCAGCTGTAAGCCTTTCACATTCCCTTTTCTTTTGTACTGCTCCTTTATGGTTTGCTAAAACGTCTGGAAAAACTCCAACAATACCTTTGTACAAGTGGAACTTATCACCTAATGGGTCCCAATCGTATTTTGGTTGTTCTTCATATAACTTGCCAATTTCAATGTATGCACCTCCTGTTAACTTGATAGCTGAAGTTAGTTTGGATCTGGACACTATTGACCCTTCGTCAAAGCTTAGTGAATTACCCAAGTGGTAGAAAGCTTCTCCAATTTTCTGACAGTCACTCTTGTACGGGCCTTGGAATCTTTTGCCTTGTGCAAGACACATGTTGGATACATTTTTCACAGCCGTGTCCATGCTCGCAATGAATGTGTGACATTGCTCAGATATTGTGTCTACTTGAGACTGTAATAAAGCTTTTTCAGGTACAACTAATGATATACAATAATTTAAACCTAACAAATTGTCTCTTTCTGCTTGTCTTTTGCCTGCTTTCCACCTCTTATCATCTGTACAAGTTAAAAAGTGCTGCCAAACTTCACATTTAGATAATACTGGATGTTTGCACATCCAATCCACAAATTCTTGCAGTTGTACTCTCCTACGTTCAATAAGTTGTTCATCATAGCGACCAGAAATTGTTTTGTCAGGCAAGGGTGGGACTGGAATGAGTGTAAACTTCTCCTGCAATCTTTCATGAAGCCAATCAAAGTGTTTGTATCTCCTGGATACTTGGATGTTATTAAATGAAGGTGTTAGTTGATAAGCAATAAAACTCTTAATGCCTTTGAATTTAGATTCCTTCTTTGGAGAAGCCACAGTGACTGTGTATGGTTGAGTTATAGGTGACCATACATATCCATCTTCATCTTGGATTATGTATACTTTTTCTGAATCCCTAACTTCTACATTTAGAGTCCCCAGTAAATAACTCTCTCCGCTTACTTTTGTGGATGGGGCAAATTTGCTTTTCCTCACTGTTCCCATTGAGGATCCAAGAGTAGAAGCAGAATCATCAAACTGTTGATTGTAGTCACTAATGGGCATACCAGGTAATGGGGCAAGAGGGGCTTGATTGTTTTGTGCCTTGTTTTGTTGACCACCAGGTCCTATTTCAGAGTATGTATCATCATCCCAATCGTCATCCCAACCATCATCATTATGTGATGCTCGTTGGTAATTGCTGTCACCAGCACTAAATTGTTGGTCACCCCAATCATCAGCAGCTTGATCATACCTATGTGGTGCTATTGAACCTTTGGTGGGAACCCGTGCCGATTCCTCAGGACTAAGTTGTTTCACATAAGCAGCTGGGAAGAGACCAGTTTCTCCTTTAGCATTTTTGCCTTCCCACCAACCTTCACCAATGTCAGTGTTAAGCAAAGTGAGAATTTCCCCAGTTGTAATAGACATTTCTGTGGTGCCAGGCTCACCCGTGAAGTCATACAATGCTTGCACTTGGGCCGTCATCTTGGGACCCTTTTACCTACAACAATTATAAAACAGATTAATAAAATGCATGTTCTCAGTGATAGATACAGTGAGTGAGATACATACATTATCTTATCAGTCTTATCTCAAATAGGGAGCTCCAAAGCATATAACTGTGATAAAGTTATTCACGCGAATATGGTTACTTATAATACTATTAGAGGATCGCACGAATTAGGGCGTTACTCTGGTGTCGCAAGGAGTTGACACATTTCCCTAATAGCCTCAATTAACCATAGTCAGTAATTGTCAAAATGTTCAGGTGCGCTCATTGTTTTATGGCTTCCTAAACATTAGAAAGTGGACTAATGTTATGCTGCATAGTTGATTGTTGTGCCAAAACACAACGAATGTAAGAAACTGGTAATATCTAATTTTGAATACGAGAAACTGAGGTATAGGTTATCGATTTGTTTAGTAGAACTAAAATTTTAAAGCTAAAGTATGAGTAATTACTGACGAAATTAGCGTACAGCACACAAAAGCTGTTAATACTTTAGGAACAACGCAAGAAATACTTGTAAATTCCTTGTTTTGTGATGGAAATCAATGACGTCAGGTCGAAGAGTATCACTGTTATGTGACAACTACAAGTAGGAGGAGTCATTTTAACCGGAATATTAACAGATTGCCACGTAACAAATTATTTTAATAATGTAAATGTTGTTACTTACATAAAATCCAAGTAAAATAATTATTTTCCAGACGGATACACTTGATTATTCAGTCATTGAATGACAGAAGTTCAAAAAACTTGTTTCCACCGCAGTCTGTTTTCATACGCCGCAAAAATACAAAATTAAAATGCGGTGATTGGCTGCAAAATTCCCATACCGAGATATTGTTACCAGTGGTTGACGGTACATTCAATACGTTTGTTTATTCTGATTGGTTAAAAAGTAGAGACTCACAGTGAACTACTCAACTTCGTAGTACCAGCTAATGTCGCTAGATGACGCATTCATACTATAATGGCGTGCCAAGGCGCGCTTTTCGAAATAAAATTACATATCCAAATGTTATATTGCTCACGTGGTTTTTTTATTACTGTACAGCATTTTCCGAAAATATTTTGTGAACGTTGCACCAATCTGTATTTTTAAAATGTTGATATTTAAAGAAGTAGTTACATCAAATGTACTGTAATGTAATGTAGGTAGGTCAAAAGAATTATTCTACATATTTACTGTAATCTGTACATATTATATGTATACAAATAGTAAGATAAGATAGTAAGCAATTTCAGTAAGGTACATAAAATTCGTGTGCTTAAAACTGTCAGGTGTAGTGTTAGTTGCTATTATTTTATCTAGGTCGCAATTTTCAAGCATTGAAAAATATAATGTAATTTATTGTTGTCTAACGTAATGTAACGTAAGTGTGTAAAAGAGAAAAGCTTAGACACTACAATATAAACGCAGCCAAGTAGATTGTTTGGGATTATTAAGTAGTATAAATCGACTAATCTTGTGTCGATAGCGACAATGCCAAAATCCAATAATGGTAATAACGCGAACCAGAACTGGACCCCATTAGGGCAATTTGCAGAGTAATGAATGTATCTGGATCTGCTTATGTATCTCATAAACGAATGTTCTCCTTCGGTTACGCCATTTGGACCGCAAAGACACGATTAATTTTTTATTATTTTCTATGGTAAGTATGGTAGAACTTCCAACCTCTAAGGGTAAAACTAGAAGATTATTCGATTTGTAGTAGTTAGGTATGTAGGTTTATTGATGTCCTAGAGAATGGAAAAAAAATGTAAATCAACAATAGACTAAATAGATACTTTTACGTAATAAAATATATAATTCAGTGCCCGCATTTGGTGTTCTTAATAGATAAAAAGATAAATTGTTACAAAAGTATTCGTTAATCAGATTGTAATTGGTAGGTTTATAATATAACTGGGTAGATAAGACTACGTAAGTCGGTCATTCGTTAGTGTTTACTACTACTGTTTTATATTCCAATATCATCATCATCAACAACCCATTTGTACGTCCCACTGCTGGGCACGGGTCCTCATCTCAGGCATGGGTTTAGGCCATACTGCCCTCTACTAACTAATACGCGGCTATGTGACAACTGGGCAAATATCCGTTTTAAATAGCAAAAGATAGACGAAATTATCTTTTATAAACAGTTAAAATGAGTTAACGTGTTCGACTTAACAGAACTTACCGTAACGATGCACATTTGTGCTATCATTAAACAATATTCTAAAACTGGGTTTAGTATGGTTTTCTATGATATCTGAAAGAAACATTTTGTCACTTAGCCGCCGTCCGCTGCGCTGGCTCAATGCAGGTTAGGAACTTCACGTTTTCTGGAGGCTGTGAACCTTATTTGATGTACAAGTGTCATCACGATGTTTTCCTTCACCGAAAAGCTCATGGTAAATTTCAGATTGAATTTCGCACATAAATTCCGAAAACTTCAGAGGTGCGAGCCCGGATACGAACTCAAGGCCTCTGTTTGAGTGGCGGTAGGTTAAACTATTAGGCTATCACGGCTTACTGCACGCATACCTACTTAAGGCGAGTCACTGGAGGAGAAGCGTGAAAAACTGTTTTACTAGATCAAATGGTTTAGGTCTTATTACTATTTAATAACATTTTTTTACTTACTATTAAATAACAATCTTTCAAAAAATATACGATATACGTCAGGATGTTGTTTAAAGAATATACTAATTTGTTACACGATAGAATGTACTTTATGCGATCATATAAAATTCTGAAAACGGGCTAAAATGAAGATCTAAAACGAATTATTTAAGAATAAAATATCTAACTTTGTATATAGGTAATTTATACATCAGACAATTATCTTTAAGTACTATTACAGAGATCCTGCTAAATTTTGGTTTTGATCTGAAGTCCTTAAATATTAAATTTTCACATTTATCTCAAAATTTACAAATTGTCTAGTGGTTTAACCATGGTTGCCCCGCCAGTCGCCATCAAGCGCTTGTCGACGGATCTATATGAAAATTTTTCCGCCTGTTCTTATTTTATTCATTTTAATTTTCAGGGCGCGGATTGCGGGACGCGAAGGGTGACACCCTGGATTGGTTTTTAGTGACTGAAAAATAAACAACAAATTTGACAAAAGCAACCTCAACAACATGGCCGCTATGAGCTGTCAAAATCTATCAGTTCTTGATAGAAAACCCTTTAGGTATAAATAAGTCATTGATACATCCATCACATAGAAACAAAATTGAGCGGCTCGATTCATTTGTTAGGTATTTCCTACACGCATGGCGTGTAGATGAATCATTAGGGGGCTATACACACACGTGTTCGTTAATACAACTTCAGACAATGGGGAAAATGAATATCCTATTGTCGTCGACACATGTGACGTCATGTCAGCGTATTAGATAGTGTGTGTAATTTTGCTCTCATTCTATATTTTATACAAACTATATAATTACAATGCAACACGCTCATAGCCCCAGGAAAACCCTCTGTCGCGGGTGCCATGGACACACACATAGACAACCACAAATTACACCCAAACTCACGAGAGAAATAAATGTAGGCCATACAAATATTTCACCCAGCCTAGGAATCGAAGCCAGGACCTCCATGTGGCAATCCAGCATGGTAACCGCTCGGCTACGGAGGCAGTTAATTACAGTACATAATATTTGTACTCGTATATAGTAAACTGCTTTTGTGAGTCAGGAAGAAACAAAGCAGCTCTTTACATACGTTATGTAGGTATGTATGTACGCCTCAGTTCGGTCATGTTAGTACATTAGGAACGAACTTTAACATAGATTGCAACGTGCTTAAAATTTAAACCAAGTTCAGAATGAGAAACTGTCTGTAACTCTCGAGAGTGTAAAACTTGTGTTCAAAGTAGAGAAAGAGCAGCTAATAGTGCTTTTAACTACAGTTCCTCTGTTTAGGTTTGATTAGGAGTTTGTGGTTGTGAAGCCGCAGACGAAGTAGAGCGTATTTATGTAAGTTTATAACTTCGCAAGGGTGTCCTATCACAGTATTTAGCGAAGCGTTTCATTATGCATTGATTTATAATAATAATTTAACCGCTGACCTTTACCTTGGTAGTTATGTATAAAGGGTGTAATCGTTAAGTTGCCCAGCCTCATTATATTAGATTATTCCACAAATATAAGAGATATCAAAAAGCTTTAAATTGATATATAGAGTACGTTACCTAATGAGTAAATAAACGTCAATTCAACTTTTTAAAAATAAAATTGTAAATATAAAATAATAAATAATAGAAATGTCTAAAGACACTGCAATGGTTTCACCATGCTTTTTTATAGCCTCGTTCCATAAGTGAGAGGCATACACAAGAAGATCCCCTGTAGATCGCCCTCTTCGAAATCCGTATTGGCGATCGCTGAGGAGATCGTTGTCTTCAAGGTACGACAGGAGACGGTTGTTAAGTACATGTCTCGTAGTCTTGCAGAGTATGGAAGAGACTGAGATAGGTCTATAGTTGACAGGGTCAGCTCTGCTGCCTTTTTTAGGCACTGGTTATACATTTACAAGCTTCCATGACCTGGGAACTACACCAGTCTCAAGCGAGAGGCGATACAGGCGTGTGAGAGTAGGAGACAACTCAGGCGCACAGTTACGCAGGACTATTGCTGGAATTCCATCCGGCCCGCTAGCTTTATGCACGTCTAGACTTCGCATAGTTTTGAGTACCTCTTTTTGGCGAATGCGAACTGGCGCCATAGTGCATCCAGGCTGAGGTAAAGAAGGTGGTAGGTATCCTGCGGCATCCAGACGCGAACTCTCTGCAAAGAGTGAGGCGAAGAGATTCGCCTTCTTTTTCGCAGTATGGGCCCGCGTGCCGTCTGGCCTGCGCAGAGATGGTAATGGGTGGCTACTAAAGTTTTTTTCGACTGCTTTGGCCAGGGACCAAAAGGATTTGCCTGCTGGAAAAGAGGCACGCATGGCCCCTATGCGGCGCACATGGTCGAACTTGGCCCTGCGTAACACA